CTTTCAGACCCCTGCTGTAGTAGAGTCAGAAAAGCTTTCCTGAAAGCAAAAGCTGCAGGGCTTTTTTCTGAACTGCAGCCTGCTTTTGATTCAGAAATAAACTCCATCTTTGCTTAAGAACTATTTTTAAGGTCACAAACACAGGATGCAGAAATCAGTACGTTTCATGGTTTTCCTGAGTGCTGCCTCACCACTCCTCTTCCTCCTTCTGTTTCCAGCAGACTTCCTTCCCGAAGGGACATCCTGCATGCCTGCCTCTGGGGTGTAGCGCCCAGGGCTGGGGAGCTGTAATGGAAATTCTGGGAAATCGCTTTTTCTGCTTCTTTTAGGCTTGGGATAAAAAAGTGAACTGGCACCGTGAAAATAGCTGAACTCTTGAGCACTGATGTGGCTGGAAATCTTTTATCTCTGTCCCACTTTGTTTTTGCAGTTGTGCTCAGGGGTTAATCTGAGTAACCCTCCTCTTAGATGTGGCTCCTTGGTTTGAATTAATTTGCATCACTTGTGAAATTTTTCAGAAATACCGAGTATGCTCTCCTTGCAAGTGCATGGGGTGACAGCAACGCTGCTTGGCCAGTGCTGGCTGTGGGTTGTCTCCAGCTTGCGTCCGAGGTGGCTATTCATTAGCTTCAAAGTGGCAGAGTGAAATGTTTTGGGTGCAGAAGGATTCAAATCTATACTTGCCCAAAATTTCCGTGAGTTACTGAGTGTCCAGAGTGTGTAGCAGAAAAATAGTGGCAATGCAGTGAATGCCCAGGGGGTTGTTTTAAAATACAGATGATAGAAAGAGATTGGTTTTGGAAGAAAACTTAACATCTGTGCTTTCCCAGCTTCAGGGTAGGGCAGTTTGGTTTAAGATGGAGCAAGATTTAACCCATTCTGCATCGAGAAAGCCTTTTAGCACAACCTTTTAAGTGCGATTTCCCAAGCTGCGGTGACTGCCTGGTGCCTGCAGAAGGATGTGACTTGGCTGTATCCTGTTTGCCATAACGTGACAGAGTTAAGATGTCCCCTCAGTGCTGTGGTGTACAGACAGCAGCAGCACAGTGTGTCACCCCACCCTGGGACCCGAAAGAGGGAAACACCATATGTCTCCTCCTGCCCGTCTGTCGGAAGAGCTGATGTCATTTAAATAAAGGTGTTTCAGGGGAAGGATGTATGCAGCCAAAATAAAGGTTGGCCTGTGTTAGAATAGTTACATCCTGTTTACCGTGGAAAACACTTTGCACTGATATTAGCTCTGAAATGCGTAATTTATAAGCAGGCAGGCACAGCAGATAAGGAACTTCCCGTGATTTCAGCCACCTGTGAGAAGAAAGGGCTGTGTCCCTCGGGCTGGGAGGCCGCGAAGCTGCCGGCAGACAAATGGCAGCGCTGGCTCCTGGGGCAGCTGCTGCAGAGATGAGGTGCTGAGCATCCCTGGGGCTCTCAGGTGGCCTGAGGTGCCTCTGTGCCTCAGTTTCCCAGCAGGAAGGAGCCTTGTGAGCTTCAGGTGGTTAATATTGGTAAAGAGTTATGAAGAGGGGCTAGAGATAATCATCCCCAAGACAAATAAACCAACCCAAGTGCATTTCTAAAGGTCTGGCTGTGAATGAAGGGGACCATTAAATCAGAAACATGAATGGCTTGCTGTATCCTCTGCATGGTATAAAAAAGTTGTGTTGCCCAGTTAAGGGGGAAAGATACGCACTTAAGAATTTGGGCTGCAATTTTATTTTTTAATAGAATGAAATGCCATAAAACTGCAAAATGCATTTAGCAAAGTCACTTGGACCCACAACACTTGATCCTTTCATCTCGGTCCCATGTGAACCGAGTTGCAGCTCCAAGCGTGTTGCCTTCTGCTTGTCACTTGGTTTACCAGAGAAAGTTTTTCAAATCAGTCTTTGTTGCATCTGATGCGACCAGCAGCAGCAGCGGGCACAGGGTCTGGTGTCTGCTGGGGCACAGGGGACCAAGATCCGGGTGGTTTCATGGAGAGGACCCAGTCTGCCATTTGCATCAGCATGGTTGCGCTAGTCCAGCAGCAGGGAAATGAGCCCTAGATGTGTCTGTAGCAGCATGCTCCCTCTGGGCAGGGGGTATGAGCCGTTCCGCAGAACAGGGCAATTTGCTGTGTGCCATTGCACAGAGGGTGCTGTGGGTCTGTGATGGGATGGGGTACTCGGGAAGCCAGTGCTGTTTGCTGACCAGCAGCTACAAAGACCAAGAGCTGGCTGGCATCTACAGTTCACACCCACCCTGATGGGGTTTGCTGCTGTCTTCTCCCGTGCAAAGAGGAGGAGGGGGCAATGCCATGGCCTGCGGTCCCCATGCCGACTGCCCCCCCTGCCCCAGACTGGCCCTGGACACTGCAGAGAGGTCACCGGCCCTGTGGTGGTCTGGCGGGGCTTCCTTCCTCCCACCTGCGAGGGAATGTCGTCCCTCGCTCCCAGAGACAAAGCCCAGTTGCTTTGCATACGTTTTGGGTTTTAGCAAGTTTCTTCCCCATTTTTGTCCAGGGATGTGTTGCTGTAGTGTGGCACCAACCCAGGATGTGTGGTCGTGCCCAGGAGGGCGGACAGGCACAAGGTGGGAGGTGCACCCCGAACCGGGGCCAGAGCGGAGAGGTGGTCCAGCCTGGGTCTCATGCTCTCACTGCAAAGCCTGAAGATTTGCCTAATCTTCTAAACCGCCTGGAGAGAGGGGAGAGCTGAAGATTTAGCCTGGTTCCATTAATGAAATAATAACGGTAATAAGGGAATCAAAATACAGACCCTCGTGCACTCAGCCCAGGGAGGAGGGACTATGCTAAACAGGCCAGTTGTCAAATTCTCCTGGCTGGTGGAAGCATGTGGTCCAGTTTCTTAACAGATACAGTCTCAAATCCCTGCATTTCTTCTGCTTAAATTAGTACTCCTTGTTATTTTGGAAAGAATATCCATGTTATGGCTGAGTTCAGTAAGGTGTAGAATGTGCTTAGTTTTAGGGGTGTGGGTTGCAGTCTGCCAGCGGTCTCTTGTCTGGAGTTTTGTATAAGCACTTCCTGCAATCAGGGCCTTAATTTGGTGTGCTTTCAGGCAGCCTGCAAATACCCGCAGCTGTCGGCATGTCAGCCCCGCAGCTGCATGCCCACACCCGGGAAGGGTGACAGCGCAATTGCGGCTTAAGATGAGCTTGAAATGACACTGTAGATGATGTGGTAATGGCCCTTGAAACATGCCCATCATTTGAACGGCTTCGTCTGCACCCACAGCACTTCATAAAAGCTGCTGCAGGAGTGACAGCAGGTAAATTGTCGGCAGCGAGACTGTTGTGGTGTTCAGACATTGTTGAATCCATTCACATTGAGCAGAAATTATAACAGTCTCAGAGGATTCAGGGTGAGAGTGGTCATAAATCTTGGGTGTGTCTCGGCAGGGTGGGAGGAATATGAAGCATCAGTCCCATTTTCAAATGCTGCTGCCATGCAGCAACTGTGCTAATTAATTTAGCACAGGATAGTAAAGTCTGTTGTCTTGCTCTGGGCCAAATGAGCCAGATGCCTGCTCGCAGACAAGGCTCACAGGTCAGGAGTCCTTAACAGTTGCCCTCTGCCTTTGCCCCTTGGCACCTGATAGCGAATCGACACGGGAGCCTTGACGTGGGCCTCGTGCCCCCGGTCGCCAGCCCTCGCACGGGGTGGCTCGTCCGCCGGGGCCAGCCCCAGCCGTCCCGCTCAGCATGGCGGTTCCTGCCGGAGCTGGGCGCCTGCTCGAGCTGCAGCGCCTGCCATCCTGCTGTCCTGAATTTAACTTTTCTGTAGCAAAGGCGGTTCCTGCTCCCCCAGAGCTTCGAGGAACAGCTTGAAAGCAGAAGCCAGAGGCAAATAATGAACATCTTGTGGTCTTGGGCACAGGGCACAGCTGTGCTTGCTCCCCGGGGCACGGCGAGCGGCTGCGGGCTGAGGCTGTGGCTCCAGCGTTTCTGGGCAGAGTTTCGTAGCCGCTGCTCTTCCCTCCATGTTGTGCAGTGCAGTGCCTCCTCCTGCTCGGCAGCTCCTCCATCCCATCCCGTCCCAGTGGAAGACCAGTGGAAATTTTGCTGTTGACTGCAGTAGCAGCAAGATCAGAGCCAGGATTTACAGTCCTGAGAGTTGCCAGCAAGCTTTTTTCCCCTGCCCCCTCCCTTGGCTCTGTTTTCAGTCACTTCCTCACTTAGTTGCAGGGAAATAATATTTTGAGTTCTTTTATTGGAGAAACTTTTTGCTTCACCTTTTGTTTGAGAAGGAAGAAGCCGGAGATGGCTGCCAGGCTTGCAGCCACCCCAGCTGAGCACGGCTCCGCGTGCTCCCGAGCGCCGATCCCAAGAGCTGACCCGTGGGAAGGGGCACCCATGGCAGCGCTGGGGCGGTGCGCAGGACCAGCCCTCTGCGGGCAGAGCAACCACCTCTGCAAGAGCAGGCGGCCACTGGGGAGGGCTCGTCTTCAACGGGCTGAGAAACCTCCCTTGCTGGCACCTCCCGCCCCGCTGGCGAGGGGCTTCCAGCACCATGCTGGAGAAGAGACCTCTGACTGCTTCAGTGGGAGAAGGGGACAAGGAGCCCCCTCGTCCCCTTTTACTGTTGCGCCAGACTTTTGTGTTGAGGTGCGGGTGCTGCTGCAGTAAACGGGCCTTGGGCTGGAGGATGCCCTCCTGGGGTGCCCTGCCCCTGGATGGCTCCGGCAGCAATCCTGGCGCTGCCCTGATCCTGCCTATAGCATGGGCAAGGGCAGAGCTCCTCTGACAGCCTGTCTCCAGCAAAGCCTGCTCTGGATTTGGCTCCGAGGGTAGATCTGGCAAGCACAAAGAAGATTCTATTACAGCTCTTTGCTCCCGTATTAACCCGTTACATGTTCCTATTCCATCACTCGGTATTGAGGAGCTTTCCCTGGGCACAGCAGGGCCATCAGCAGTTTGCCCACACTGAGCCCGAGGCAGTGATGGCGGGGGGGACCTGCTGGTGTTTGCTGCAGCCCACTGACGTGTGTGTCTCTCCACAGCTGCAGCCGGAGCAGCTGGACTGTGGAGCAGCGCACCTTCAGCACCCACTGGCCATCGTGAACCCCGTCACAGCGACCCCCGTGTTCACCTACAGCGGCCTGACTGCGGTGGCGGTGGCCAGCATCAATAACTACACCGTTGTGTTCCTGGGCACTGCCAGCGGAGGACTCCTGAAGGCAAGTGGAGTGTGGCAGCACCAACGTGGGGGGAGCCAGGGCTGGGGGGACAGGGAGGGCGGCGGGGCTTCCCCATCCAGCACCTCTGGTTTGCACAGAGGACAATGTCTGTTGTTGAGTTTGTCTGAGCGCCTGCTTTCATTTGGCAATGAAGGAGTAATTGGATGCTGCTGTAATCTGTGCAGTGATATATGCTGCCTGGTAACTAGTGGCCGTTAATTACTGTTCAAGGCTGCTATGCGAGCAGGATGTTCTTGATGAACCCTATACTGGAAATGTTATTGTGCAGCATTTAATTATTAACAGCTCTTCTAATAAATTCTCCCTCCAAGCTGATGGCTTTTGAAGGCTCCATGTAGACAGGGGAATCATCAAGAGATGCTTCATCACAGCTGTGTCCAAAGCAGGTGTGAATCCATGCATCTGATGGAGTATCTGTTCTAAACAATGTGCCAAAGGCAATGTAGGGCAATGCAATACCCTGGCTGCAGAGGCAAGATGTAAGGCCAAGGTTTCAGTAACTTCAGCGCTTGAAGTTTGCCAAAAAAAGTTTTGATTCCAGCCAGCCACAACAGTTTGATGTACTCTCAGCAGCGAAAGTCCATAGAGGAGAGGAGGGGAAAAAAGCCCTGGAGCAGAGACACAGCTGATACCTGCTTTGTCTCAGCCTGGGGTGAGTGGTGCATAATGTGGAATACTGGATCAAAATGCTTGGAGAGAAGAAAACTGATCCAATCTATTCCCTTGCGTCCAAGTGCTCCTGGCAGAAATGTGGGAACCATCACAAAGAAACTCACAGCTTTGATTTTTGCCTGCAGGGGCAGGTAATTCGTAAGGGTGGGAAGAAACTGGCACCCCGGCCAGGTGCACTGGGCTGGAGAGGCACATGCCACACGCAGCGCAGCCCCTGTTCACACAGTATTAACAGCTCTGCTTCCATTATCATCTCAGAGAAAGCAGCCTTATCTGTTGCGCCTCCATTAGGGAGAGGCTCCTGGCTACCCTTTGCTGGGATAATTTGCTCAGATAGCTCTAATCTAATTCTACAACACAGCTGCATAACCAGAAGCCCTTTTACCTTCGGGGCTCCTTGTTATTTGGCACAGCATACAAGATACTTTGCGTGAGTTATCATTCAGATTTGCTGCCTGAGAAAAGGCAGCAAAGGGGCAGAAATAGTGCTCGACCGGCTCCTGCCAGCAGCAATTATGGCTGCCAGGGCTATGTATGGGGAATTAATCAGATAGGCTGCAGACGGGCATTTCACGAGGGCCATTATCAGTGCCACATCCAGCAGTCATTAGAGGAAGAGCAGCACTTGGGAAGCGGTGCCAGGGCAAGGTGTGCCAGGATGCAATGCCCTCGAAGGAGATGGGGGGTGGGAAGGGTCTGTTCTGGCATGTCCCCACATATCCAGGTCTGGAAGTCTGTAGGCAAGGTGCTGTGCTGGGGTTACTCAGAACTTCAACCCACTCTGTTCTTGCCAGCACCAGTGCAGCATGTGTCCTCCGGCGTGCCCCAGCCCTGCTCCAGTGAAAGCATTGGTGGTCTCTGCCCCTCTGCGCTGCTGCGGTGGCTCTCCCCTGGGGTCCGCAGCTCACGGGGATCCAGGGAATGTGTCTGCGCGGTGAAAGCGTAGGGTAAACAAGCCCAGGAGGCAGAGGGACCTAGGGACAGGCGCCTCGAAACAGCCAAGCGTAGAGCAAAGCTCAGCAAGAAGAGAGAGAGGATGGTCGCAAAGCTAAAGTGGAGGGTGTCGGGTCTTGGCTCATGGGCATCTTGGGTGATCACAGGCAAATCATTGAGCTTCTGGATAGCCAGCTTTTAAAATGGGGGTAATGATAGTTCCCTTCTTTTTCTGCATAGTAGCTTGCAGTGCTTGCATATGGTTCTTAGCAGAGGGAAGCCCTCTGCTTTGAGCTTGTGCTATCTTACTAGGACATGTCAGTGCTGCTGTAGTGTAAGAATTAATTAATCCTATGTTAATTAATTAATCCAGACTTTAGAAAGCAGAGACACGCTGGGTCCTTACAATTATTGCCTTCCCTTGCTAGTAAGGAGGTAGAAATTTTCCTTGCTCCCTTTCTGTTTTAAGCTGAAAAGTGACTGTCACGCAAAATTGTGTAGCCCTATTGTTATTTCCTCTCAGCAATGCCACATTTAATTTGCTGAGTTTTCAAGTCAAATGCCAAGACATTCTGAGATCTGAAAGGCAGGCTGATGCTTTGCAGCCTCTTCCATCACTGCCAGCGCTTCAGCTGGTGATTCATGAGGCAAGGTAGGATTCGGCTCTCCTGCGGCAGCTGCCACGGTCTTCTGGAGTTAGCAGGGATAGAAGCTTCTTTTGGCCAGGAATGACAACACTTAATTTCCAAATACACAGGGAGCAGGGGATGCCATGTTGTACAGCCCTGTTGCCGATTTTCACTGTTTTTCATTAAGCTTTGGAAATGCATCGTTCTTTGTAAGAGAAATGCACATATGTGTGTAACAGGGCTGAAGGCTGGTGCCACTTACGTTAGGGTAAGGCAAGAGTAACACTGCAATGGCCTGCTGGAAACAGCCTTGCAGCTGAGCCGTGCAGTGGGTAGAACCTTAGATGAAAGTTTTCCAGGCAGCCTTTCAAACAGAGGGCTTTAAACAGAGGGACCAAGGGCTGCGAGGGTTGTTCATCACTGAGCAGGGCTCCTGGCCGTGGCCTGAGCTTTCTGGACCACTTAGTGCCTTCCCTGTGGCACAGAGCTGGCTTTTCAGTAAAGCTCTGTGTGTGCAGCCTGCAAAGTGTGTAGAGATTTACAGCACTTGAAAATGTGGAACACCATTAGATACCACTTTGATTCTTGTTTATAACAGAGGAAAAGTAATCTTCTCCCCGTAGTGTTTGAAAGATGGTCTCAGTGAGTGGCTTCTTCTCACTACAGATTAATCTGGACAGTACCATGAAGGTTATTAGCAGGAGATCCATTTCGGTGGCTTACGGAGAGCCTGTCCACCCCATCATGCAGTTCGACCCTTCTGATTCTACCTACCTCTATCTGATGACCTCCTATCAGGTGAGATCTTTAGTCTTCAGCAAAATAGTCCTTTGAACATCATGCATTTGAATTAGCATTCAGCACTAAGCTGGGAGCAGGAAGGGACAATAAAATTTGCTTTAACTTTAATGGGCAGAGCCAAGAAGTTCAGAGCTTTGGCTGGGGTGTCAAAGGGCTTTCCGGAGGGGTACGTCTGCCTGTCCATTCTCCTGCATGGGGTGGGGGTCATGCTGAGCAGACTGGCTTGTTAGGCTTTCTTGTCTTTGTGGTGGCCAGGTAGAAAGGAGAGCAAAAGATACTGAAACCGATCCCACTTACATGAGTGCAGAAATAAGCAGAGGTTGTTCCTGTATAGAAACCTGAAAATTACAGTACACAGTCTTTAAGGACGCTTTTGGGAAATCCAACAGACAAAAAGTCTGCCTGTCAGAAATGATCCTTGGGGGAGATTTCTGCTCAGCCTGGCTGGCAGGAGGACTGGATGGTCGGAGGGATCTCTACGGAGACCAGGAATGCCGCAGCAGGTAGAAACATGCAGTCTCATCTCCGTCAAGTGAGCAGGGGAGGAAGATGAGAGCTGAGCGCTCCAGGCGCTGGTGGTTTGTCCTGAATTACATTTTAATCTGTCAAAACAGATGCACAACTACAAATGTTATATGTTGCATTTATATTTTCCAAGCCCTAATTCCCTGCAGATTGGTCATTATAATTTCACAGAACCCTCCTGGGATGCCTCTTTAGCTGATGTTTCGGACTGTCTCATCTCAGCTCCCAGGCTGGGCTGTGCACCTCATTCGGGCTTGATCAAACACCCAGTGCAGCACTTGTGATGCTCTCCTCTGTTTCTTTTCCAATAAACCAGATGAGTTGATTTTTCTTAGGTGGAATTAGCATCCTGGGAAGCTCCTCAGGAGCTCGACGGGGTTGGGGGGGGGGGTGCTGCGCACTGCAGGGCTGCGGGTAGAGCGGGGGTCAGGCCAAGGAGCCCACAGTCAAAGGTGCACTTGCATGGTGGGAGCTCAGGGCTCTCAGCACCTCACGTTGTCAGTCCCTGCTGTACCGAACGACTCGGTTTTCCTTTACAAATGTTTAGAAGTCGAGGGAGGAAAAAGCAGAAACAAACACATGCCTTCCCTCCAACTGCTCCTGCTGAGCAAGTCCCCAGAGGTACTTTGATTTCTTTACAAATTAAAGTTTCCAGAGTGGTGTTGCTTTCTGGTCATTTTGTAAATAGCCAGATAGTGTTCAGCTCTGTCTAGAAAGGAGCTTTCTGCAGGTCTGAGAGAGCTTTTCACAGGGAGAGACAAGCTGTGAAACCATCTCCATCTGACACATCAGAAAGGTGTGGTGTCGCTCTCTGTAGCCTGACCATCACACTTCTATTGCCAAGGTGCCGGCTGAAAAGGAGCAGCTCAGCTCAGCTCAGTGCTGCTGTGCACCCCACGGGGCGACTACACTGGTGGCAGCAAGCCCTGTCCCTTGGGCGTCCTTACCTGCCCCGGCGTGCGTGGCCCCCAGGCTGGGATGAGCTCTGCTGGGGGCACTGGCAGGGCAGCGGGCAGCTGCCTGTGCTGGTCCGCGTGCGGGCTGGTTGTACAGAGACCACCCGCTTCTGAGCGGTGTGGAGTGGAGGACGATGGTGCCAGGGTCTGCTCCTTGTTGTCCGTTCTGTAAGGCTTGGTCCAGGCTGATGGGTAAAGTAGCCCAAGATGCTGGTGTCTCGTCACTAGCTACACGTGGCCATAGCAGCACATCCCAGTCCGGTTGAGTGTTTCTGTGATGTTGTAAAACATTTGGAAGCAGTTGTGCTGTTGTTGTGCAGATGACGCGGGTGAAGGTGGCTGCCTGCAACCAGTACTCGACATGCACGGAGTGCCTGGCTGCCGCTGATGCTTACTGCGGGTGGTGCACAATGGAGACCAGGTAGGACTGGTTGTGTCCTAGTGTGCTTTGGTGTGTCCTTTGGCCCTCGAGCCCAGGCAAGAATTTCTGATGCCTTTAGTATTTCCACACAGTCATACTACCGTTAGTCTTTGTCCATTTCTTACGAAATATGTGCTTTTAAAAACAATTGCATCTGGTCTCAAATGGTTGGGGTGCTCTTCAGAGCCAGGATTTAACTGTAGCTGCTTTGTTATGCTGCAGTCAGCTGCCAGTGCAAAGAGTATCTTGCAGGCATCCAACCATGCGACTGAGAGAGCCAACACCCTCTTAAAGACCGTCTTTTGCCCTTGCAGTTATCATTTATGAGTAGGAAACAATCAACACTCAGAAAGGGATTTACAAAATTAGACTCTGTGTTTACAAATTGAAGAAGTCGGACAAAATGTCACCTCCTCTTCAGTTCTGGGTTCAGCCTGGCCTGCTCTGGCTTACCCTGAATCCTGGTGCCCCGTTGATGCTGGTGGGAGTAAGTGCTCTTATCATGGCAACCAGACACTTTAAATATAGCAGCAAAGCTTTAGGCTTAGCTGCATGGATGGAGGAAAAATATGTAGGCACAGGATTTTCTCAGGATATTCCCTCACAAGGAAGTAAACATTTTTATCACCTGTTTTAAAAATAATCAACCACAAATTGTTCCCCTGTTTGTTGCAGGTGTTCTCTGCAGCATGAGTGCACAAATTTCACAGGGGCCAACTTCTGGGCAAGTGCAAGTGAAGGAGTACAGCAGTGCCCTTCCATGACCATCTTGGAGCCTGAGATTAATATCGACAAAGAGAACCCGGTGCGTTTGATGTGAATACCAAATTAATCATGTGCAGTGTCCCATAGAGTCATTACCAGCTCTCAGGGGTGATAAATATCCATACTCCTCTAGCATAGCAGCACAGCTTCATGTGGCTTCGATATGAGTTGTGGGGACACTGAGCTCTGTTGTATGCTACAGAGTCAGGCCAAGGTTCTCAAAAGCGCCTGGAAGTGACGTCCTGCGCCTCAGCACCCTGGAAGCCAGCAGGCTGTAGGTGAACAGGACTTCTAAAGCTGCTGCACTAAACATACTGGAGAGATTTGCAAAATTTTGAAATACAGAAGATCAGCTGCAGACAGCTAAATCAATTCATTTTCTGTTTTTGTATTGTTGCTATTTTTAACAATATTTAAATTTAATTTTAAATGTTTTCATCAAAATATTTTTCATTTAAAGACAGACCCTCTCCCAGTGGCAAAAGTCTCCCTGTGCCAAACTTCTCAACCAGCCCTAACATGGGGAAATCGCTCATAAACAGGCAGAGCCCAGACCAGAGCTGGAGAGAGGGATCCCACGGGACCCTAGCACCGGTCCGGCTCCACTTCTGCCACGCAGGAGCCGTGGGCTGGGGTCCCCAGGGAGTCACCCTGCTGACTGCAGGGGAAGCCAGCTGAGCACGTGGGCTGTGCGTTTTCCTGAGTGTCCCTTCTCAAAAGCATTCCCTTTCTGCAAAACTTCCCGTCCCTTCCCCTCGGAAGCTGACTGCAAAAAGAAACCCCTGCAGCCAGCGTGGCCCTTGTGTGCGGGTGGAGGATGCTGGCTTGCGGCCGGACCCCCGCAGCCCTCCCAGCAGGCTCCCGCCAGCTCAACACCTCCTGTCCCCGGTCCCTGCTGCGGACTCGTGGGTGCTGGGAGGCTCAGGCGCTCAGAAGCAGGGGTTAATTTTATTCTGCTCTTCCTCCTCCTCCTCCTCCCTCCCCAGAGCTTTGGGAGGCAGCGGGGTGGGAGCCAAGCCCAGGAGGATGCAGGAGCGGGACAGACAGGGCTTGTGCAGGCAGCGTGGGTCGAGGACAGCCGGGGCGGCTGGGGAGGGTTTAGCCTTTGCATCCTGCTTCCTCCGAGCGGTCACCCAAGGAGGCCGTGGGCTGGGTTTTCATGCCAGCTGCAGTTGCTGGAGTTCGTGGTGACAGAGCTCTTACTGCTGAAACAAGGTTTTGTATGCAGATGGCTTTTCAAGTTCAAAGTGCATAAAATGAAAGAAAACGGCTATCTGCGGACTTGTTTTGGAGTCGCTAGCCTATGAAAAGCTTGTAAAACATGGACAAATTCTAATTATAATTTTCTGTGATAATAACTGATTTATTTTTTGTCCAATATAGGCCCTGATAATACAAATAAATGGGACTATCCCGAACCTGAATGGAACAAATATTTCATGTGACTATGGAAATAATATCCACACGGTAGCCAGAGTTGCTGGAGATTATGTAAACCAATTTATTTATTGCAGTTTACTTCCACGTGAGAAATATCCAGCGTTTCCAGATGACCAAGGTATGTAGAGGAAAACAAGCTCGGTTCATTCTAACCACTTTTGTGGACATAATTTTTCATAGGCTTTTTTCTTTTTTTCCAATTGTATGTGCAGATAATGCATACAGGGAAAAAAAAAGACCCAAGCTGCTTCTGTTTTATATGGCATATGACTTTAAAGTGTAGGAGTTCCACCATCTTAACACAAATTGACAGTATCTCAGACCTATCAATTTTTGTTTTAAACATCAGAATTTAAAAGCCAGTTCATGTACTTATTTTATTAAGATTTATCTGGTTAGAGCTTCTGCTTTAGATTTAGTAAGTACTAAAACAAAAACGTTTTAGCCCTGGGGAAATAATGTTGCTACTCATATTGATATTTTCAATTGCTTTTGTTTAATTTCCCTCCCGAACATGCGCTACCTTTCAGGAGAAGTTCTGGAAGAAGAGCAAGTGTGTACCTAAAGGCAGCTCAGAAACTCTTAATCCTGTTTATGCAATCAAAAGCCAGACTGAGGTCTTCAAGTATCCCCCTGTCAGATGGTACCAAACGGGATGCCCATCTTGAGGCTCCATGGAGCTGTGTTCCGGAGGTGACAAACACCTGCAGATCTGATTGAAGTCAGCCGAGCCTTGATGACCGAGCTGACCAGATCTGATACTGGCCATTTAGCGATGGAGACAGCCCCATTTTATAGTTCCTTCTGAGAAGTTCGATGCTTCATTCCAGACTTGAGTGCTGGTTAAATTTTCATCTTTCAAGCCTGGAGTGAATGCTCTATTGAAGATGGCTGACTTCAGTAGGAGAAGAATTAGCCAGTCCTTTTGAAAATCCCACTCTTCATAGGCAAGTTTATAAAGCTGCATTGTTTTTCTCCCTAGCTATCCGAAGAATGGGAGATCATTAACTGTTCTGTATTGTTGGTTACGGCAGTATCCAAATGAATTTCTGGAATCCAATGCACTGATTTATTGTACATATTCTGAAAGAGGCATTGTCTCTTGTCCCTGGTGCTTATATGGCAAAATTGCAAAGAAAAAATATTAAGCAATTTTTGGGGGAGGGGGAGTTAGTATAGCATGTTAAGTAGCCAAAAAAGGGATTTCCACTCTTCTCTGTGGGTTTGTTGTCATGGGGAAAGTGAGCGGGGTTTTAAAACATGATAACTAACATGTTTTAATTACCACATTTTTTTTTAAATATCATTTAGCACCAACTGTAAGCGAAGACAATAATTAACTCTGCTAATTAACACTTGCACAACAAGCTGGAATTTTCTGCTGAAAGTCGCAATGTTCTTTTCTGGTGAGGGTGATGTAAAGCATTGATTTAAGAGGGAAGAGCTGAAAGTCAGAGGGCAAAAGATGAATGGTCCAAGCTCTGAAATGCAGCTCGGAGGAAGCCCTGGAGAAAACAAATCAGATTTAGCCCCTGTTTTCCCAAGGGTCTGTCTTGTCTCCTAAGCGTGAGCGCGAGCAAGAGGCTCTTGCAACCCAATATTCTTTGGCTTGATTCTCTCAGACCACGTGGTCGTCGAAACTGCTCTCCGGGTCAACAGCAAAAACATTATCCGGGCCAATTTCACCATCTACGATTGCAAAAGAACTGGAAACATTTACCCGAAGAGAGCGTAAGTGGCCCTGGCCGCAGGCGGTGGCAGGGTGCGGGTGGCACTGCGCTGGCCGAGTGGCACCGGGGCGATGGAGGCAGATGGAGTGGATTGAGGCCGGGAGGGTGCACGCACGCAGCCGGACGAGGGTCCCCCTGCGTGGGGTTAATGGGGGAGCGCGGCTGCCCTGCCAGCGGGGCGGCTGGGAGCCTGGGCAGAATTTGGCAGGAGCACAGGGGCTGCGCTGCCAGGGATTTACAAAGGAGGGTCCTCGCAGCATCTCGAGCCATCTGGACATGGTGGGTTTTTTTTAAACGTGAATAGTATTTTTATATAAAGCTTGTTCTGTTAACCCTTAGGCAGTGGAGCCGGCCTCCCCAGCGATCCCTGGGGGGGTCTGTGGGGCGGTGAGGGAGGGAGGGATGCGTTCCCTCTGCTCTGTCGCCCCTTCCAGCCCCAGGTGGGAGCAGCCACGTACCCTTCATTGACACGGTGGGCTGGAGGGGAAGGGTCTGCTGCCACCCACAGAAATTCATCCACCTTTCAGGAGCATTACACCGCATCCTGCCCGCCAGCAGTCCCACGCCCTGCGCAAACCATGGGGGAGAGCCTTCATCAGGCATGAGCGTGCCTGGCTCCCTGGAGAGACAGATGGGGGAAAAGGGTGTTTTGTGGGGAAAAGAGCATTTTTTGCTAAGCGGGGAGGGTGGCTCCCAATCTGCTGTGGTCTGGGGCCAGGCAGTGGCACCGCAGGCAGTGATGCCCCAGAGCTGCCCTCGGAGTGGCACAGGGGATGGTGGGCTCTGCCCGCATCCCCTGCCAGCTCCCAGGGAGAGGAGGAGAGGAAAACCCAGCACCTGCCGTGGGTTTTTCCAGGCACCATTAAAGAGTGAACACAATGCGTGAAGATTGATTGCACGGTTGAGGTTTGGCTCCCCTGAGCAGCCTGAAATCTGCTTCTCTCACCGCACCTTTGCCATTTCAGATGCACCAGCTGCCTCTCGACCAGGTGGAAGTGTCACTGGTGCCCCTCCACCTACACCTGCGTCTCCAACCACTCGCAGTGTGACGACGCGCTGCAGATGAAGGTAAGGCCCATCAGTCTTTGCTGCTTTGGGACACCTTCCTACATCGCGGTGCTGTTGCTGTTGTTTTCCTTCTTCTCCCGGGGATGGAGGCAGATGGCCTGGGTTTGGCAGTGCTGCCCCAGCGGGAGGGGCGCAGCTCGGAGGACGGTACTGCTCAGCGTCACTGACGTGCTGCCTGGCCTTGGGGAGTCTCTGCAGTTGGAAATGCAGTGATACGCATCTCGCTTCCAAAGGCTCAGCAGATGGAGAGCTGAAGGGCCGCCCTGGAGCGTTGGCTCTGCGTGCGTCGTGTTTGCGGCGCTCCCCGGCAGCGTGGGCAAGCATTGGGCTCAGGCCGGGCTCTGACCATCTCGCCTCCAGTTCCCCAGGCTGAGCCTTGCTTTACTGAGTGACCCTGGGGGGTCTTTAGGCATCGGTGTTCAGCACGGTCTCAGCCGCCCCTCCCAGCAGGCTCTGAGTCTCCTCCACCAGCGGCTGACACTTGCTAGCCATGGCTTGCCCAGGGCTGGAGTTGGGGCACCTTCCTCTGCTGGTGTCCAGGAGGGGGACGCGTGCAGGGCAGGTAGGCTGCAGCCATGCCATGCCTGGAGGCACGTGTATGTGAGGAGGCTGGCACCCTGGCTAAAGCATTCGGCTGTCCCAGTGCCCTCAGCGGGCTTTGTCCCTTGGCTCTTCATCACCTCTCATGTCTGGAGCAATGCCACTACTTCTCTGCATCCTGGGACGCCTGGGTTTGAGTAATACAATAAACGTTGCAATACTTTACAATTCGCTTAGCTTTGACTAGGCTGTTGTGGTATGTTAATAATTTGCTGGAGCACCACTGGTGATGCTCGTCTAAAGGAGAAAATCGCCCCTTTCCAAATTATAGCTTTAATAACCCAGAGGCTCAGTGTGTTCCTGCTTCTGAAATTTAAATTGGAAGTTAATTTAAATAAAATTGCCTTTTTAGCAATCAATCTGCCGTAGATCCAAGCCAAGCTTTTACACTGTAAATTGAATATCCCTTTAGCACTGGTGCTCTGCTCTCATGTCAGCTCTTCCAGCGTTCCCCATGCTCGTTGCCAGCAGGAGTTTGGCCCCGTATCAGAAGTCCCACCCTCACCCCCCGGGCTGACCCCAGGGCTGGCCCTGGCATCCGCTCCCCTCCAGCCGGGAGGAGGTGGGCGGCTGCAAACGCCGGGGATGGGGATGGAGATGGGGCCACCACGTCACAGCTCCACGTGGTCATGTCTACTGTAAAACCCTGGGAAGTATTTCCCGTCCCTGCCGGGTGGCAGCTGGGTGACAGCTCCCGGCAGCACAGGGCAGCGCTGGTCTGTCCTCCGGCTTGGGAAGCGTGTCTGGATCGGTTGTGCTTCCTTGTGCCTATCTGGGCTGCTTATACTGGGCAGTCTGAGGAAGCACCCTCCGCTTTTGTCAACTTCCCAGGTTTCAGAAAGTTATCTGGCATTTTCTCTTGCTGTCTGGATGGGTGCTGGGCGCTTGAAAACCACCACTGGATGGCTGCTCCTGGTGTGGGACCCATGCGCTGAGGCTGCGTGGTGGGGTGTCTGCCCCATGCCGGGACACGGGGAGCTGTGCCAGCGGTCTGGCGGTGTGCGGGGCTGCTGGGGCACGAGGCCTCGTGGCATGGAGGGCCCTGAGCCGTGGATGTTCGTGCTGCGCGTGGTCCCGGGCGCTGGGGCTTCCACTTGGGGCAGGGGCTCTGGGGCTGTCAGCCCTGCCAGTGGGTGACATCAGGGCTGTGGGGGCCGCTGGGGACCGCCACAGATTAGTCCTCGATCAATGTTTTTAGTTATGGCTGGTACGCATTGTTTCTTATTAAATCTAGAGGAAGAGCTTAGGCTGCGAGAGGACTTGTGAAGAAGGTCCCGTGTTATTGGATTGACTTTTTCCTTGACAAAGTGCCGCGTAGCCTGCAACTCAGCTGGCAGAGGCAAAAATTGCTTGAGATAATTTGTGTCCTTTGACTTAAGCGTAGCTGCTTCTTGAAAGGCAGGGTAAGAGCAGTTATTCAGCGGAGCAGGGAGCAGTGTGTTTTCCTAGCTCAGCCCAGGTGTCCCTCCCAGACTGTCTGGGGAGATGTTAGGGAGGATTTGAGAACCGCAGCTTGCCGAGTCCGGCTGCCCCATCATTCCCTGCCCCACAAGGCAGAACCTGGCCTTGTCCCCTCCCCTGCACGGAGCTCCTGGAGTGGGGACAAGCCATAAAACCGACGCTGTGGGGCTAAACCCCTGCTACAGTGTCCATGCCACTGGTGGGAGGGCGCGGGGCTTCTTGCATGGAGCCTCTTGGGGCCAGACCGAAATGATCCTTTGTAAAGCCAAACCTGAGGCTGTCGCCGTTGGTCGGTGATGCCTCCCACGGCACTGGACTCGCTGTGCGACCTGGTGTGCCAGCCGTTGGGTTTGGTGGATCTCCACGGCACGAAGCTGGGGGAAGTCCCGGGACGCGGGAACAAGCAGAGAGTAGTGTGATGGTGAGGTGGCATTGCCTGTGGTACTGCAAACAGGGAGCAGTCTGAGCCAGGGGTGGAGGGACCACAGCCACCTGGTCCCTCCGAGCTGGCAGGACATCCCTGCCCTGTCTGAGCTCGCTCCTGCCCCTGTGCGTGGGCCAGCACCCAGCACTCGTGCGGCCACGTGCTGGAGGAACTGGCCCAGCCAAAATCAAACCCAACAGAGACATTGTTCTGCTCCTGAGTGCCAGTGCCGGTGTGAAGGGCGGACACAGGTACTGAGACAGCTGGACCTTGGCAGCCCGGCATCAGCTCTGCCTCCCTGGCCACGGGGACCGTGCAGGACAGCGTGGCACAGGGTGCTCGCATATCATCATGGGGAAGAGCTGCTCTTCTACCCGGAGGGAGGAAATTAGGGTCATAGACATGCGTCTCAAGGACTCTCGCCTAGATGTTAAGGAGAGCTGCACCTGGTCTTCCCACTCTGCTCCCATCACCTCGAGCAGGTGGTGAGAGCCAGGGCAACCCTCTGGCAAGGATAACTGTGCCTATCCTTCCTTAAGGATAACTGTGCCTACCCTTGCTTTCTTGCCTCTGATTTCCTACTCCAGAGGTACAGTTGAGTTGGATGCTGCACCTGGTTTGGGCACACTTCTGTTTTATCTTTGTGCCTTTTTTAGCTCTTTCCACTGATATCAGTGAGCAGCCTGCAGGATGAGGTGCTCTGTAGCCCTGGAAACATGGTGCCTCATCTTATAGTCTGAGCTTTCAGTAAACAAACCATTGCTGGTGTGGCTGCACCTGAAAACTGGTCTGCTGGGAAGCCAGCATCATATTGGCTTCATCCGCAGCATTTTAAACATTCAGACCCTTTGCCCTGATCCAGACGTGAATGATATAATCAGCTGGAAAGCTCTATTTCTAGGCGCTGATGAACAGCAGGAGAAGGGGCTGCAAGACGACAAGTTAATCAGTCCTCTAAAGTGTATTTATCTAGCAAGCTATGCCAGCTGCTGTGACATGCAAGGACACACCAGGCCATAGGAGCTTTTGCATGAATTTTCAGTTGTAGCCCTGCTGGTTTTATTTTAACTCTTTTGATACTCCCAGAAGGGGCTTGGGACTGAAATTTGTTGTTTTACTTCTGTTATCATGTGTATCTCTGTTATTTAATCTCCTTGTTTAGGTGGCACCAACTGTGCTTGGTTAAGAATAGTGTCCTGACAGAAATGAAGCGTGTTTTGCAGAGTCAAACAGGCACTTCCAGATAGTCCCCTTACCCCAGTTAGGTCTGGGGAAGGCAAGAGAGAAACCTCATGCTCACTGAGTGTCCAGCACTAGGGATGTGTCCTGCTGGGCATCTCAGTGCTAGGAGGGCAGGCTCTACTGCTCGTCAGAGCAGCAGCAGCACTGTCATCAGCAGAGTCACAGTGGGGTAACCTTTAATGCAAGTGAGAAGGAAATCTTGCCTGCTGCAAATTATTCTGCATAATGGACCAAATATTTTGTTGTCTTTTACCCCAATGCCTCCATTGTCAAAGGCATTAATCTCGATATACCCTGGGGCAATGGAGAATCTGGCTTCATTTTTGCTGTAGTTTTGCAGTGTGATTTACATCTCATGAGAGAACAGGATGGGCTTGTCATACAGACTTGAATTCTGAGTCAGCTCCAGTATCTGAGCATCAATTTAAAGTGAGAACAAAAGTAGCGGGACAGATGACCTTTTAAAATCATTTTTCAGCTTCATTTAGGCCTTTCATTTCAGCTGTCCTACTGCTGCAGTCCCCTCGCTGAAGCCCCTATAGCTCATTATACCCTTTCCTTTGCGCGCACACACACAAATCCCTGCACGCTTCTGAAATGACACTGTGCAGGAGGGAGACCACTGGGAAGTGAAATCTCTGCAGGGGCTTGCAGAAATGTGCATTGCGATGTATGAGACATAGGCTTCCAGCTGGCAGGAGGGGGGTCGCACCGGCAGATTTGCCGTTGTAGGCTGCAGTGCCTCCTTTTTGTATCACTCCGGCCCCATCTTCTAACATTTAAGTGCATGTAATGAGGGAGCTGCCCATAGTGGCAGCTGAGGAGTGCATACGCATTTGCTTTTTATCTGGGAGTACATTTTTTTTCCAGCGCAGGAAGATCAAAGTGCAGGCTTGGCAGCCTCACTGTCCAGGGGCCGGGAGCTGCCGATGTCCCCGAGCTGGCGGAGGAGCCCAGCAGGAGCGAGAGGGGAATTCCTACTGTACTTCTCCCTTTGCCGGGCCGTGACTGCTGGCCCACGGCAGTGGCCGAGCCCTCCTGGAAACCCGGCCACCATGCTGTTGTTATCTGGCAGCTAGCAGAGGGGTGGATTTTAAGGCAGTGCCGTGCTGGGCTGGACTTAAAGCCTTCCTTGGGGGTGGAAGGCTCCACGTGGGATTACCGCTCTGTGTATCACAGTGCCATTTTGATATTTCACTTTCTGGGGTTACAGTGTGGTCTCACTTTATAGATGTAGTGAAATTAATCTTATCAGGGACCCTTATGTGTTCTTTGCCTCATCATTGAGGACACTCAGCATGAACCCAGCACAGCTAACCTCTTTTTTTTTTCTTGTTTTGTACCTAACAGAAGAAAATTGACTGTCCCCGAATTGTACCTGCCTCTTTGGATCCAATGCCCACGGGAGTATCTCGGGACATTATGATCTCACTGGCTAACACAACTTTCTCTAAGGTAAATGAGTTACTAGAGAGATTAGGAAGGTTCAGATGAGATTAGGCTGGTGTGCAGCAAGGTGGTCGGGACAGCCAAAGGGATTTTAAGTACTATCTGATTTCTGCCTCGGGAGCGGGTGATGGGGCCAGTCCTAGCTTGTGTTAGCAGCTGAAATTGCTGTATTAACAAAAGACGTTGGTGGAAAGCAGCCACCCCGATGGTGAGTGAGGTTGCATGGCAAAGCCGGAGGGAGATGCTGTTTGTATCCAAGCATTCTCCAGGGATCTCCTACAATTAGTGACAGGCTTTTTGCATTCGGTGGAAAAAGGAGGTTTATACACCTTGTAAAACAGTCACTAGAACAAAATGTTTGGGGGAAATAGAATTCCTGGTTTCCGTGTGGGTGTTCGCTCCACCACAGAGCATGCTGGTGTCGTGCTCTCCTAGCGCTGTGTGCCAGCCCAGCCCTGCTGCCCCACACTTAGGAATGAAGGACAAAGCCCCGAGCTGCGGGCAGAGAGCCCTGTGCTGGCTAAGCCACTGCTTGGAGCACAGCGTGGAAATGTGTTTTAACTTAACTTCTGGTCATCACTGCAGAGCTCTTTTTTTTTGTGAAGAAATCCTTTCTGTGACATTTTCTGGCATGCAAATTGTAATAGGGCGAAAAACAGGAGTGGACGTCAAATGGTGCCTTTGGAGATGCATTGCACGCCAGGAGGAACCAGAGGAATTTGGGGCACTGGGAAAGCGCTTGACTAAGCTCTGGTATTTGTAGAAAGCCGCCCTGTATCATTTTGGGTCAAGTTTTCAGCGGGGCCCATGGGACCTGATTCGCCATGCCCCTGTGGAGGATACCTGCATGCTGGACAGCCAGGCATCTCCTCTTTCTGCAGGGAAAGGAGAAGGTTGGAAATGCTGGTGGAGCTGCCTGGCTTGCTGCGCCGGGGGCAGCGGGGGTGCTGCCAGGCGCTGTGGAGGCACTACTTCCACCGGACCTCCTGCCCTTTGGCATGGGGGCAGAAAGAAGCTCTCCCTGCCTGGCTGGGGCTGCCATTTCCTGCATGGTCCGGCCTCTGTAGAGGAGGATGTGCCCTCCGCAGTCAGCAAAAAAAGGCGAGAAGTCCGTCTTCCTCTGTGGATGCTGGAGGTGGCTGAAGAGGAAGCAATACCGCATGTAACCCAATAGGAAATGAAGTCAGCAGGAAAGGGGCCAAGGCACCGCCGCTCCTGGGGCGGCTGGAGAGGCTCTGGCAGTCCGGCTTCCTCCCACCACCATCTGCAAACTGTCCCGGGCCGCTGGGCGGGATTCCTTCCCCTTTCCTCTCTGCAGGAGCTCGCGAGCACTGCTGGAGCTCAGAGCATCGGAGACATGTGCCCCGACACCTTCGCTGCTGCGGGGGGACTGTCCGGGCGGTGGGCGAGAGGCGAGGGGCGGGGCCAGTGGGCAAAGCAGAGGCTGCCTGGGTGCAAACGAGGCACTGGAGAAGATTCCAGTTTCCCCGTCACGGCCGCGTGTGTGTTCGCTGAGCCAGCAGCTGTCTGCCAGGAGTCTTGGTGCTTTCTTTCATGTCTTTTATCAGATCTGTTGGTTTTCAAAGGGTAGTTAGACCTCAGTAGTGGTGGAGCATCAACCTGCTTGGAGATAGGATTTTTTCCTGCAGGATGGAGGCACAGCAGTAACTCGTGGCAGGATATCATCCTTGTGTTATCAGGAAAACAGCACACAAAATCTGCCTTTGAACGTACTCCCAGCTGGGTCCTCATTTGAATTAGAGATTTGCTCTGTGCAAAAGGTGGCTTTGAGCCCAAATCACTGACTGCTTTGGTCTGGTTTGGGCGAGGTGGCTTGGGACCATGTTGGCTCTCAGTCTGCATTGCAAGCATGATCTCTAAACACCCCTGGTCCAGAGGAACCCAGGTACCCAGCTGGCAGGGGTTACGAGAGCGTAGCCCAGCCAGGCATGTCTGCTGGTCTGCATGTGCCGTGGGTCAGACACGTCTCCTGGTCTGTGCATGCTGTGTCTCAGGCACGTCTCCTGGTCTGCACGTGCCACATGTCCCCGGCTTGAGAGCGGCTGCCCCACGGCTGGTCATGACACTTTACAGCAGCACACTGGGCGAGAGCAAGGGACAGAGCTTAGCTCCACATTCGATGCTCAGCCTGCAGCAGTTTTATTTATAGGTGTGTAACAGAGCTGGATTAATTAGGCACAGATCCCAGTCCCATTTACAGTATTGGGTTCTGATCTCCTATTTGACTTGAATGCAGTTCAGGTACTGATGGCAAAAACAGGGTGAGACTCTGCGCCCACCATATCAGTTGACTGAGACAGAGAACTGCACAAAACAGTTGTTGCAGCCCTTCTGCCCTTGTCTTCCCTCCCAGGAGACAGCTCTGGAGTGCCATTTTGGGACAGACAGGACGTTTGAAGCCCGGTGGGTGAACTCCTCCGCCGTGGAGTGCGTACACGTGCTGGTGAGTTGGGGGATGAGGCCGCCAGCCCCTGCTGCCCTCCGCAGCGTGGGGCAGGTCTGAGGGCAGGGAGGGTCTTGCTCCCCACCTCCCACCTGGCGGCTGGGATGTCACCTCCCCTCCTCCCTCCCTCCACATCCAGCTGAAAAAAGTGCAAACTGGGTTCACCCCTCCGGCAAGAGGCTCTTTGCTTGTGCTGATGCTGGAAGGGCATTCATGAGTTGCCAATGCTGCATTGTTTGCTCTGTGGATATCTGCAGTGGCTCCAGCCCCTGCTCCGCTGGGGTTTGGGAAGGAGCTGCTTGTTTACCTTTTGAAATGGGAAGAGTTCAGTTCAGGCAAAAAATTTGGCCACCTTTCAGTGTTGCTATTTCTGTAGCTCTTATTCTGAACTAGGAATTGGCCTGAGAAAATGCTCAGACACTCACCGAAGAGCAGTGTGTGGTTGTTGGAGGGCAAACTGCACCTCTGAAATGCAGCAAATATTTGGGCTTCCACCAATGGGAATATTGTGAGTGGAAGCCGGAGAGGAGCACTTTCCCATCACATCACCTGCAAAACTCTCTATTGTAGCCCGGCACTGAAAATGTGCAGACTGGCCAGTCTGTTAGTTTTCCTGTCCGCTTCTACTAAAAATAGCAGCAAGCCAGGGCTCTGCTCTCACGGCGGTGCATGCTGTGCGCTGGTGCCCTGCGTTGGCACCTCAGCAAAACAATTAAAACAAGAAAACAGCTTCCCTCTCTTTCTCTCTGCTAAAGATGAGACCCTCCTGTACTGAGAAGCAGTGGTCAGAGAAGCCTTAAGAGGAATGTTAATCCCTGTAGTGTGTGTATGGAGCCTTGTATTTTACTAAATTTCCTAAGCTTTTGTTTATTTGTTTTTTGTGTGCAGCTCCACACATCAGAAAAAAGCCATCTCTTCCCAGTGAACCTTCAGCTGAAGGACAGACCAGACAGATTTATTGACAGTCCAGAGATGATGACAGGTCTGAGTTGAAAATATTTTTATTCTGCTCTCATCTGGTCAGCTTGAATGACTCTAAAATCCTGACAAAGTTTATGGGTTCAGGAGAGAGACCATGGCTCAGCCGGGCACAGCTCAGTTCTTTCTCTCAGGCAAACGCAAAAAACATATTTACCCAGAGTTGCACCCATGTGAACGTGTCCCCAGAAACCACATGGACGCCTACGGACATTCCCTTTACACCCAGGGAGAGTCAAGCCCCGTCCGTGAGCTCAGGCAGCAGTTGAGGTCTCGCCTGCCAGCGATGCGTGGGACGGGGTGTGCTGGTGCTCTTGGTCACAGCAGAGATGTGGAGCGTCCCCAGGGTCAGGGAGGAATTCCTCTCGGAGGAGATAAGGGATGGGGGAGGGCTCTGCCCTGGGCTCTCACAGGAGCATGGCATCAAGGTTCAGCATGCTGTAAAAATTGAGTCTTTTTTTTTTCCTCCTGTGCTGAGAAAGAATAAAATGTGTAAACACATTTCACCCCTGGCCCGCTCTCTGTCTCTGGGAAGAACGCTCGGATTCCCAAAAAAGCCCTTGCTACATCAGCAGACTAAGGAAGGCGGGCAAAGAGTCAGATTGAGAGTGCACTCAGACAAGGCGTTTAGATAGGACGAGCCCAGCCAGTCGACCAACAGAGCCAGCGTTTGCACAACAGCCGCCTCTCCCTGCCCTGGCCAGAGACTCGATGTTGCACCTAGCTGTGTGCTCTTGTTGCAGGCAGCAGCTTTTGGGCTCTTTTCCCTCTCAGTAGTGTCAGCAATTGTAGTAGAAGGAACCGATTTACCCTAGATGTGAATGAGAACTAGATGCCTGAAGTAAGATTTTCTTTGGAGGATAGCTGTAATAGGTAGAGAGACATTAAAACCATCAGCCACTGACCCAGGATAAAAAGGTTTCCCCATAGTAAATCCCAGTGTATGAAAGAGGCTTATCTTGCAAAGCATTCCATGTTGGTGAAATAACCTTGTGAAATACCAGCATGGATAGGCATGAGATGTGACTTCCTTGCAGAAAGAAGAGGCTGTCCGTATTTTTGAGATACAGAGGTAACCCTGAGGAGAGGGGCAGGAGATCTGAGCTAAGACTAATTTGATGTGCAAGAGAAGACTCTTAGTTCTTGGCGTGGGTGGTGCTGGGAGCAGGAACGACAGCAGAAAGAGCATGGTGGCATCCCCCCTCCTGCACAGAGAAAGAGCTCGCTAACACAGACTGTGTTTGCATTGGTATGAATTTGCCAGAATATTTGGAGACGCTGTGGAACCATTAGACTGCTCTGGCTCCTCCTCACCTTGATCACATTGGTGCAAGTAAAATTAGAGAGGCTGACTGGCAAGCAGAGACAGAGGTCTGCCAGGCCAATTATAAATGTGTGCATCTTTTATACTGTCTTTAATGGAATTATTGTTATTAGTGTTTATTATTCCAATATTTATTAGCTTTTATTATAAACTGCATTTTGGTAGTCCACTGAAGGAATCCCAGCTCTCTGCTGTTGGGTGGAAAACCAACCAGTGTAACTCACCGAGTCGACTCAAGAGAAGGTGAAACAAGCTCATTTTCTTGTGGAGAATGGGAGACTCCCTCAGTGCTGATGACGTTTCATTAGCACAAGCACAGGCAGACCGTTGAAGGCTGAGGGATTCGTTAGTTGCTTATGAAGTGCCTTGAGATCCTCCCGTGAACAGAAGTGCAAAATGTGACTGTTTCTTTGTTTTATGTTCTCCTGCAAAGTCTCCTCTGGGGAAAAGGGTGTGAAAGCAACGTTTCCTGAGTGTTTCTGGCTGTTTATCTCAGCGGATACCCACACTCCAGCAGCAGAAGTCTTTAGGCTGGAGAGGAAATGTAACCTAGGGCACCAGCTAATGAAGAGGTGAAAGCGGTGTAGGAAAATGATGTGGAAGCTGAGCTGAGCAGATCTGAAGGGAGAAGTCAATGAAAGGGGCCCATGGTCACCAGGGGGAAGGAAAGGAACTGTAAACATTGTACTAAGCACTGTAACCATCCAATTTTTGTCAGAGTGTGGAAGCAATGTGATTGCTTTGCTAACAGGATGGAGCCAGCTTTGCCAGGCAGCTTCCCGTGTGGATGCTGAGAGTTGGAAACATGTAGTATAAATCGACAAAAGGTTCTGAGTTTGGGTGTTGTTTGTTTTTCAAGAGGAAGAAAAGGAAAAGAAAGTGCTAAATTACATTGCAGTGAGAACAAGCACCCAGTCCTTCTGGGAAATCTTCAGGATGGCAGCCAAGCGCTGCCTCATCTTGCTGTATGTGCAAGCTGCTCTGCTCATCCACTGGATTTCAGATGTTACTTGGATTAATATAGCAGGGGGTGGGGGGAGTAGGGGGGTGTTTGACTGCCTCAAGCTAAGCAAAGCTATGAAACTGTCAGGCCCAGGAGCTCACATTTTCTGTTGTCTCTGGTGGTTTAGTGGAGGTGTACAACTGTGCAACTGGGAGTGCTGACTGTTCTCAGTGCCTGGGGAGGGAGGACCTGGGGCACCGCTGCGTCTGGAGTGAGAGCAGCTCCAGCTGCAGGCTGCACAGCGAGCCCTCCCAGGTCTCAGACATCTGCCCAGCTCCAGAGATTAAGAAGGTAAGACCCCAACGCGCGTGTGGCATAGCAGGTGGTGTAGAGGGCTGATATCGGCTGCGCTGTCCCTGTCTGGGGGCAAAGGAGGAGCCATGCTTTGTCCCTGGCAAAGGACAGGGTCAAGACCAGTGCTGAATTATTCATTGATTTCCTATGCTGTTGAGTCACCTGATGCCAAGGACATCTTGCTAGTGACAAGATCCAATCTTCATCATGTTAGTGGGAAAAACAACAGCAGCACAATCAAAATGTCCCAGAGTTCCTGGGGTTGGTAAAAGCGAAAAAGATTATAGGGTCGACTGAAGGGTTCTTATCAGGAATAGCATTTAGTGGAGCATAGCTGAAGTGTGAACCTGAGCCCTATCTCCAGGTACATGTGTTCTGCAGTTCTGCTGAGATTAAGAGTGGCAGAAGGACCTTTTGGCATTATGCATTTTGAAATGGGTTTTATTTAAATTTTAGTTGAATGAATGTTTGTTGGGGGCATTTGGATCTGGGGTTCTGCTTGGAGGTATGGTAGGAGCCAACAAATTTGTCCCTGACAAGTAGCAAAGTAAGTATACAGAACAAATCTTAAAATGAGCTCCCTAGGAAAGGAGAAGCTGGAAAGGCAAAACAGCTAATGTGAACATCAAAATCGGCAAGGATATGGGAGTTCTGTTCTTAGGGAAGCACGTAGCAATGGCTGCTCAAAATCTGGGTACAGTAAAACTGCATGGAGGGACTGCAGGATCCCCATTGCCTGCCTCTTCCTTCTCATCACCATGGGAGAGGGGTGCTCCCCCGTGAGCCTGTCCCTCCCCAGCACACATCAAGTGTTACCAGCACCTCGCCAGAAAATAACGGAAGGAAACCACAGTTCAGGTCGCAGAGCGTCACAGGACTCTGTTGCTATTTCCTTAGCAAATAGTAGCCGGTAAATCCAAGTCCTCTGGAGTCACGCAAGCAAACAAGCCCTCGCAGAGCCCTCCTGGAGAGGGGGGCCAAAACAGCAGGCAAAGGAGGGTGCTGAGCCTGCTGGTGGGTCCTGACCCGCCCTAGCCGGCTTGGCCAGCTGGTGCCACCAGGCGCATTGTGCTGGCTTTGGGTGCCATTGCCTTTGCAAAGGGAAGAGAGCCATTCCTGAATTGGAGGGATTTGTCTTACTGGCTGAATAATGCAGTCACACTGCCTGGGGATGCCCCTCGCACGGTGGAACAGCATCACGCCCAGGACCCTGTCCCCTCGCAGCGGTGGGGTCAGCAGCTGCCAGGTGAAAAACCGGTGGCATAGGAGGTGGATGGGGAACAGCCTCGTCCTGCGCCCTGGCATGCCACAGTGCTGGTGTCTTGGCCACACTCCGTGCATCGGGACACTTTTTGTCTTGTTTTTGTCCTGAAAGGCCCCGCTGCATTTGGGACAGCCCTTAAAAACGTGATGGTAGGACTCTCTCTTCCCAGCACACTAGCATCCCTCCTCTGGGTTTCCAAGTCTGCGGGTTTGTCTCTGCCCCAACTCCGTTTGAAGCTGTGGTGTGGAAGGAGTGACATTTCACCTCAGATGTGTTTGCAGCTGGAGTAATCCTTGACCAAACCCCAGTAGCAAACCCAGCAGTAGCTTCTCATTTGCAAAGCTGCAGCAAGGGGAGCGTGGCGGTGGGCGTGCTGTGGGGGGGTGCAGGAACATGAGGAGCAATTCCGTCTTCTTCATGGGGGGCCAAGTGGGACATGGACACAGGCTCAGGGATGGAAGCAAGAAGCTTCCTGGTGGTTTTCCTCCGACTTTTCCCTTGGTGCTGCAGATCGAGCCACTGCGGGGGCCGCTGGAGGGGGGCACCCTGCTGACCATCCGTGGGAGGAACCTGGGCCGCCGCTTCAGCGACGTCCTCGGCGCCGTCAGGATAGGCAGCGTGCAGTGCGTGCCGCTACCCGACAGATACGTCGTCTCCGAGGCGTGAGTGCTGGGGCAGTCGGGGAGGAGGTCCCAGTCCCCCTCACTTTCCCTGCCCGCGCTTGTTCCTCCCCATCACCGTCGCTCGCCTGGTCCCCCCGCCGGCCTCTGGCCGCCCGGCGCGCTGCACCCCCGGGTGGGAGCGGGGCAGTGACCTGTCCCAGGCGGGACGTGGGTGCCCTCCGCCATGCGCGGCGCCGCTGGTGCTGCCCGGACCACCCCTGCAGCAGGCGCCGGGCAGAGCGCGGAGGAGGAGGAGGAGGCCGAGGGCTCTGCCCTGCTGCTCTGGCGGGGCGTCCCCTCCACCGCTGGCATGACTGCCAACATCCCCATTCCTGTCCGCAGGATCGTGTGCCAGACCGGCGAGGCTCAGGAGGCGTTTTCTGACGTGGTAACAGTTAATGTGAGCCGGGAAGGGAAGTCCAGGGAGCGATACTCCTACGTGGTGAGTAGCTGCCTTCCGGATGTTTCTTCGGTGATTCCTGCACCCCTTAAAACAAGCCTGCAGCCTTCCCACCCCCAGCTGGCTTAGAAGGAGGATCTGTTACAAAAAGCGTCGGGGTCCTTGAGGAGCAGCTGGCCTGTCTCCTCACCTGCGGTTACCTGAGCGAGGTCTGGCAAAGCCAGGCTTGAATGCGAGGGGCAGGACTGCAGCCGGGGTGTTGTCAAGCACAACCTCACTCCCAGTCTCAGCTCCTGCAGTGGTTTATCACCCGTCCTGGCTGTTCCTGCTGCGATAAAAAGGAGCTCATTTTTCTTCCTCCTTTTGCTAAAGTGCCATTACAACCTGTGAGATTTTTTGAGACTAAGTCTCTTTGTGCTATGCAAGTTATGTACCATGGGCTCATGTTATTTAGAACTGATATTTTTTGCTGCAGAGATTGTCTTAGTTTTTGCATGAGAATAATGCGTAGGGATTAGACTTGAGCTAACCCTGTGTCATTACACAAAGTAAAGCCCTTTGTAGCTTTGTACTGTACCATCTCACAAAGATAACTTTCATCTCTATAAAGCCGAAAGAAATCTATGCATTTCTTCTCTTTCCTACAAGCGCCCTCGTCTCTGGCTAGATGCTATTCATGGGCAGCCCCACGCGTCCAGGGCAAACACAACAGGATGGGTGCCAAGGGTATGCTGTTTACTGGGAGCCTTTGTGCTTCTGCTGTTGCTTTAGCTGGAGAAGAATAGACTGTGCTGCAGTCTAGTGGCTTGAAAGAAGACTTGAGCCCCAGGAAATGACATTTGATTCCTGGTAGCCATTGTGAGGAATTTAGGGCAGGATCATGGAGTGTAATCCCTGACCCTGTAACTGATCACGTGTTAGGTATTTAGTTCAGGGAGGTTTACACAGCGTGCAGCCAGCAGAGGTACGGCACATCCCAGCGCCCCATAACAGAGCCAGGCCTGGCAGCGCATGAGGAGGGGACCAGTGAGGCAAGGGCACTGCCAGCCTTGGCTCAGCGGTAGTTCCCGGGAGGACATTTGCTCTGGGACCCATTCCCATCGTTTCCAGGCATCCGTGTTCACATCCAAAACATCTTAGAGACCCAGCAGTCTGGAGTGGGGCAAGGTACCGTGGGGGTATGACCCAGTAACGGTCCTTGGGTTTGGGATTTCTGGTGCATTGCCATCAGGATGTGTGTCTTGACTCGTCCGCATCGCCCGCTGCCGGGCCAATTGTCTGGTTGACAAAGAGGAGGAGGACCTGAAGAGTGGGAAAGGGCTGGGCGGCTTCTTCACTGGCTCTTGGCATGCAAGGAAAAGCCCTCTCAGGAAACACCTGTAAAAGCACCAGTGCTAAACAAAGCAAGAGGAGCAAAAGCCAGTCGCTGAACTCAAACCGGGTCCATGACAGCTCTGTGCTGGCAGCTCCTGGGCAGGCTTAAGGAGAAGGCTGTCCTCCCGGGGGTGGGAGAGGAGCTGTTTTCTGCTCGGGTGGCACAGCAGAAAGCTGTCTTGTGTCTGTTTATCTCAGCAAAGCTTGGAGAAGAGATGAGGGAGTGCCCTGCTTTGTGCATGTGTATGTCGGGGAGTGAAACTGCATGTTGTGTAGTTGGTGGTGTGTTCCACACCGAAAGTGGCTTCCACACCCTCTGCAAACTAAGCAACACTCTCTAGTTTTCTTGATTCTCCTCTCACATACAATGGCACGAAGATGGAGTAGACTACACCAGGCAAGGCTGGTCTTGGTGAGACCTGAGCTTGAGCACTGATAGCAGTTTACCTGAAAAAGTTTAAAAGACTTTTAGAACTGCCTTTCCAAAGAAGATTCTTTGTAAAATACCAAATATTGTTTGTGAGCTATATCTTTCAAAGTCCCTGTTAGATGTATCTAGAAGAGACAGAATTCAGCTGTAATTCTGCTGAGGAGGAGGGAGAAACATGATTGAGAGACTTCTCCAGGACATTATAACAGGCTCTGGGTGAGCTGAATTTGCCAAATGAGCTGAATTTCCAAAAGCTGCGATGGAGGCAATCAGTGCTGGCAGTGCAGTGAGAGCAGTAGCCAGTGGCTCTTGCTGAGGGGAAGAGCTGGAGGGCTTTGGGTAACATGAATAATCCTCTCTGCTATTGTTGTAACTGCACATTTGAATGCATAGGTTAGGGGCCAAGGGCAGGAGACAGCTGCCTGCAGACACTCAGAGAAATACGAATTAACAAAATGAATCCTGTGGAAATGGGTAATGATCAGAAACAACAGAGGAAATGGCTGTGGAGGAATAAAGCAGTCTAAGTGTAGGACAAGGGCAAGGATAGCTATTAATAAGCATGTTTGTGTGGCTGAGATTGACAGGAAAGGGCATTAGCACCAGGCAGTATGAAGCAGCTTAGCCCATGTTCTTCAGTCTGCTCCGGTGCGGTTTTGCTCTGCGGCTGTAGCGAAGGATGGGCTGTAGTGGTTAGCAGGCTTCAGCCAAACTCCGCAGCCTGGCGGGTCTTGTGCCTCCAGGGTTTGCGGTGTTTGACAGGGAATTACCAAGTGCCTTATGGAAGGGTCTTGAAATAATTATTTGCTCTGCCCTTGGAGTCCTATTCAAACCAGAGCAGGGAAGTTGCCCAGCAGAGTCTCCTGGGGTGCTCTGTGTAGCAGACATGAGGGTTCAGCGCTGCATTAGTTATTAAAGCCTCAAGCTCATGAATCTCAGGAAGATTTCCAGGGGCTGCAAATGCAGATAACATACATGCTAATTTCTGCTGAAAATGGCGAGAGGCAAAGTAACTTCCCCCTTAGTTCCTGTCACCTCAAGAGATTCAGATTTGAAGCTTCCTTGAGAAGGAGTTTGATATTCAATTATCTAGACCCAGGTGGCTGTTTTCACAGATCTCAAGGCCATCATCCAGCAGGGCTTTAGCATTATCTTCGCGTTCAGGAAGAAATGGATCTGGAAGGGCAGAGATGGTGGGAGCTGGAGTGAATGAGAAATTTCCTTTTGTTGATAGACCTTGAGCTGTCGCCAGCTCTGGACACTCCATTGGAAATCTCAAGGGACTGGTGGGATCCTGGGCTCCAGTTTGGACTCATGTCTCATTTATTGCCAGAACTTAGGGACTGCAGAGAGTCACAGAGGTTTTATATGATCTCATGCCTCAGCACTTGTACCTCTTCCCTTGTTCTGAAACCCTGCTGGCAAAAGCTTTTGCTGTGCTGTTTCAGAGCCTCACAATACTGGATACTTAAATTTACTGAAGCAATTCCCATGTGCAGTGTGGAGTATCCAACTGTGAATTTACCAGGCTAGAAAACAGATTTCCCCTCTGTTTTTAGCTTCCCGTGGTGCAGTCCATAGCTCCCCTGAATGGCCCGAAGGCTGGAGGCACCAGAGTGACCATCAGAGGCAGCAGGCTGGACGTCGGCTCTGAGCTCCGCGTCCTCGTCAATACCTCCAAGCAGTGCACTGACCTCAGGTGGGACTGGGTCTGGGGGCTGGTGCTGAACTAGTGGCAAGAGCCAAAGCATTAGGAAGGATGTTATTGTCCCCCAGGAGATCAGGCAGAGCTGGGGTTTGGGTGGAGGGCACCACTGAATGCTGCTGCTAAGCCTTGGAGCCAGCGTAGCATCCCCATCAGCCCGCTTGGCTGCTGCCTCCTCCATTTCCAGCCCCCCATGAGCCTGGTGTCCCCAGAGCAGCGAGGCAGAGCTGCAGTGCGGGTGCCTGACACAGGATGGGGCAAATTTCTTTGGCAAAGTGACTGCACTGGTGTTGCCGTGACATGGCAGCAGCGACCAGCAGCAAACGAAGTGCTTCTCACACACCATTCACAGCACGCTGCCAGGCCCCTTGGGTGGTCTGGGACCAGGACCAAAACCCTGGGAGTGAAGCAGACGTAGGCTTCGTTCCCATATCTGCTGGAGGCAGAAGGCACCTGCGTGCCCAGGGTCCTGCTCCTGCAGCAGCTTGCTGGTCGGAAGAAACCCCTCCTCCTGTATGTTCCCGTCTCGTCAGTGGGAAGAAGTAGGAGCCTGCCCTTCCCCTTTGGCTGTGTGGGAAATCAGTCTGGCAGCCTGGGATGGTATATGCTGAGAATTGCTCATTAGTAGGCAATGTAGGCAATTGGCACATGACTGGAAGCTCCTTCTTGCCTGTGTCTGCCATCTGCCTCGCTTCCGAGGGGGTGCTCAGGTCCACGGTGTCTGGCTCCGGGCACTCTGTCTGCCATGGCTTCTGCAGCTTACCCTGCCTTTCCCTGCGCAGCCGCAACGACAGCACCATCACCTGCACCATGCCGTCTGCAGAGCTCACCACAGCCGTGCGAGTCTGCGTTCAGTTCGAGAACAAGTCTTGTGCCAGCTACAACATCACGTTCAAGTATGAGAAGAACCCGATTATATCAGACATCAACCCCAAAAAGAGCCAGATCAGGTAAGATCCCTCCCCCAGCGGAGACAGCCAAGTCTGCAAGGATTTGTCCTTCATTTTGTGGCCTTTGTTGAGATCAGCCTCTTAACTTTTGCCAAATGCAAAAGTTAACAGTGCTGTCCCATCAAAGCGCAGAGCTAATTGGAGTATCCTGGTGTAGCCTGCTGCAGGCAACGTGAGCTTGTCCTGTCTGTGCTTCAAGCTGTCCAGATGCAGAGTAGATCCTGAGCAAACCCCGTGTCAGGAACCCCAGGAGTCATTGAAGCACAGCCAGGAGGCAGGGTATGGTATTGGGACCCCATGCCACACTGTTGTAGCACCATGAATTCCATTTCAGAGCTGGCATGTGTCTGTATCTGCCTGCAAAAGAGAGGGTCAGCTCCAGGCTGGTGGGAGAGGGTCCTGCCAGGTGAAAGTGGCTTTCTCAGACCTGGGTTTGACACATTGCTTTGCAGATGGGTACAAAAGGGCACCGCAGAGTGCTCTCAGGGTGCTTCAGGGTACCCCAGTATTGGAGTAGAAAAGGTCTCACACACCAACACTGTCCGTAGCTCATTTCAGTGCATTTAGGACATGGAAAAAAGTCAGCCTTGGTAACTGCGCTGTGTACACCTGGTGGGTGCTTTAGGGAGGTTCGGGTGGGGGGCTTTATGAGACCCTGAGGATTTTTCTTGGCAGTAAAACTGCTGAAGGATAAGCTGAGATTTGTAATTTTGGATTTCAGCCTTCCCCGAGGTCACAGTATTTAATTTTTAAAGCGTGTTGCTTTTAATTTCATGTCTCTCTGTGGAGCTCTCAGGCTCCTGTTCCTTTGGATACCATGGTGAAATCCCACCTTCCTCAGCTGTGGAGCCTGGAAAACCCAGGGCTGACCAAGAAATCTGTGAGTCCAGTGCCTGTGCCCACAGGACCATGGTGAAAGCAGCACGCTCAGGGCACGAGCACGCAGCAGGCTCTGACGGTCTGATCCACTTGGAGCAAAGCCGTGTCTCGGCATTCCCAAGCGCAGCGCCAAAGATGCAGGCTGTGGGAAAGTTAATGACAAGGCACAGCAGTGACTCAGCCAACCTCAGCTCCTAGCAGGCTTGCGAACTATGCTGAGTGGGGAGAGCGGTATCTAAACACAGAGACAGTGGAAGAATGTCACTGCCCATATTCACAAGGGAAACCACCAGGGTATTTCTCCTTCACCTTAATCTGCTTTCTTAGTATTTACAGCAGTTTCCAAATTTCAGACCACTGAGGACATGACAGCAGTCTCTCTCTTCAGACTGCTTGTGGCTCATGTAGTCTGACTTAGTTCAGCCCAGTGCATTGCTGGGCTGTTGACCATGAGGGCTCAATAACTTGTGTAAAAATTTAGCTGGATCTGATTTATCTTACCATATTGCTAAAACAATTTGTGTAAGCAAAGTTTAAAACAAAACAGAAGTTGTAAACTAGTCTGCAGATGTGACAAGCTCTTAGTTAGAAACATGGATCATAACTACATGGTGATATCCACATATTTCAGAGAACCTGACTTTCAGGGCCTTGGACCCAAAGTCACTGTGTCTGGAGTGGTCTTCAGATAACAGGAATTGTAAGTCCTGACTGTTCCCTGACAGATGCTCCAAACAGATCAAATGTGGTATGGAAGAAGGAGAAGGTAAATCCAGGGTATAACTTCTGCTGTCCAGAACAGACAAGCAATGCCAGTTCTCCACCCCTTGCTCTGCCTGGCAGTCTTGTGTGCATCAGGGCCCTCTTGTTACTGTTGTTAATTGACTGCACATTGAGACGCCCATGTTTCGCATTCCCCAGGCAGCAGATCCAAAACACAAAACAACTTTCACATTTTGATCTAAATCAGAAGTGTCTGGGAGATGCAGGATCCCTGTCAACCTTAAAGGGATTTCTTCCCTCTCCAAGACTTACAGTTCTCTGCAGGTCACTGTGGGGCAGGGAATATTTCTTGGCCCTTGCTTTGAGGGGTTGGAGGTTAACCTCTTTTACCGCCAGTGGTCTGGGCAACCTGCTGCATACCCCTGGCATGCAGAGGCAGGCTGCTTCTCTGGGGAGTGGGAGTGAGGGGGACAGTTTTCTGCTGCTGGAAGAGGTCCCCCCTTTCCACCACAGCAGCTGCTGTTCCTCCTTCCTTCCCTGATATCTTGGTAGCAGTGTGGATGCTTGCTGTAAGTAGGAAGACGACTTTGGCTGTTGGGTTACATTTTCTGCTCAAGCAGCTGGGAAGCATCCCTGGGAAAATGACAGCAGGGAGACCCAGCCATTGCACCTTGCTGCTGTGTTGTCTTCTGCAGTCACCCTCTTTTTCTCCCCTTCTCCTCAAAGCGGGGGCAGGATCATCACCCTGGAAGGAAGAGGCTTTGAGCTGGTCCAGAACGTGTCCATGGTTGTCCGTGGCATCGGCAGAGAGCAAACGGTGGGTGTCCCTGCTGGATATCACACAGTAACTGGGAGCAGGGCTGCGTGCCTGGTGCCTGAGGACATTCGGGGTGTGAAGCTGAGGCCTTAGCCTGTGCTACAGATTGGGCTGGGAGCAAGGCTGGGTGGGAGCACTCAGGATGTCATGTTTTTGATGTGCATGCTCTCTACTGCTTTCAGAGCTGTAAGGTTCACACCGACACCGTGATCACCTGCCCCTCTCCAGCTGCCTCCAACATCACTGCGGGGAGCAAGCCCGCACCCGTTGATTTCTATCTCAACGGTCGCCTCTATGCAGACGACCGTCTGGCTCTGGATGAGGAGATGTACCCCGAGGAGGCCTTGCACATCAGCAAGTTCAGCCTGGAGTACTATGCCGACCCCCAGTTCTTCACAGCCAAGAAGGAGAAGTGGATCAAACACCATCCTGGCGAGCCCTTAACTCTGGTTATACATGTAAGAGAGTGGCATTTACAGCTCTGCTTCTTTCAGGGTGTTGCCTGCTCCCCACTGGGAAGCTCTTCAGTCCTAAGTACCAGCACAGTGACTGTCCACAAACACAGGAGAGAGAAGGAGGGTGGATGAGGACAGTAGAGGCAGGAACTGTGCAGGAGCAGGCAGTTCTTGCTCAGCCTGCTGCACGTGCATCTCTGTTCACCAGGAGTCACAGCCCAGCCTGAGGATGCCCTTTGAGGCATGACGACAGAGAGCTGCATTTGAAGGATGTAATAGCAAGAAGCTAAATAAAATATTGGACATATGAAAAAGAATGATAATGCACTGGCCTGAAATCAGGCAGGTACTCCAGAAGGTCCTGACAATAGATATTTATTCCTGCAGAAACAGGTCATGCATCCTTCTCTTTTGGCTACTGAATTCAGCTCAGTTAACAAGGAAGTCAGGGTACAGCAGTTGAGTGGCTTGGACAATATGCAACAGTAATTCAAAGGCCATTGTTCACTGCAGGATATCCTCACTGGTTGCAACGTGCTTCAGAAACACACTCCCCCTTTCTCAGGCTCTGCAGACGCATCCCCTGGCTATCCCCTCTTGTACATCCTTCCCCCCTCCCAGGTGGGGGCTTAGATCCTTATCTGCAGTGCACAGCCAGGGCAGATCAAAAGCAGCTTTTTCAAGGTTCCATGAGGGGCTTGCTCATCCCATGCCCCATGCTGAGTGAGGAATGGGAAGCAGGAAAATGGGGAATGGCCCAGTTCTGGGTTTCCTGTGGAGTGCTGGAAAAATGTCCTTGGTGAGGGAGAGTTCTCCAAGGTCTGAAAAACAGCAGGGAATATGGAAAGTAAAGCAGGAAAATCCATTGCAATTCCGACGGCTACTCTAAAGACTGACATCCTGATTCTATTTTTGTCATTAGAAAGAGCCTGACAGCCTGGGCCTGGAAAGCAATGAGTACCAAGTGAAAATTGGCCTTATCTCGTGCGAGATCCAGATTGTTTCGGACAAAGTCATCCACTGCTCTGTCAACGAGTCACTGAGCACCTCGGAAAGACAGTTACCTGTGACGGTGAGTTCCAGGAGCCTCCACTCTCCGAGAGCGCGGGGCAGAAGGGATCCCTGTTGCAAACCCTGTGTGCAAAGGAGTCGGCTGTGTGCGCAGGCAGGACCTGCCAGGCACACTTGCAGGCAGCCTTGGGGAAGGGTGGACAAAGCATGCTGCGCTTGCAGCTGTCCCCAGGGCGGCTCGCTGGCGGGATGCAGGTGTAGTCAGTGCTAAGGCTGCCTTGAGTCATGGAGAGGGGCTGCCACACTCCGAATCGTGGCACATTGGCAGCTGCCCGCTGAGTTAGCTGCGCTGTAAGCTGGAGGGGGAAGATTTTGTCAGTTCTTGTAAGGTACTGTGAAATCCCAGGCATGTGACTTCTTGTCACTGGCAGTAATTTTCTTTCTGCCCCTCATGAGATACATTTGGGGATTTCCATACAGTTTTCCGTCAGCTGGCCTCCTCCTGCCAGCAGAAGAGCTGCAAGCAGACATGAGAATCCAACCCTTACCAAACTGCAATAAGCCACTGGAGATGGGTCCCTGCGTGTGACTGGGGAGGGCAAGAGGAGTGCGCAGGACTGGAAAGTTTCGTGTTGCTTCCCAGGGGCTGCCATTCTGTCCCTGCGAAGAGTGCAGTGTTCAGGGCTGTTGTTCATCTTTGTGTCTGCAAAATTCACAATATTGTTACTGTCGTTTTTTCCACAGAGGGCTTAACTTAACTGCTCTTCTTGCCCTCAGTTTCTCTCATGTCATATGCAGCTGATAGCCACGCAGCGATGTGACTATGGCTCTTCATATGTGAAGAGAAAATGCCTCCATCTCCATGGTCTGAGACCCTGCAGTCCCCCTCCCAGTCCGTGTGTTAACAGTGAAGGGGTGGTAGCCAGCAGAATGGGCAGGGAGGAGGAAGGCTGCAAAGGGAGTTGAGGAGGCTGTGGATTTGCGCTGCCCGGAAGAAAAGCACAAAGATGCACCACCAATTCACTGACAGGGTTGTCCAGTTTACTGGTTACAGTCTGTGGTGTATGAAATTCTGTTGTAAACTGGAAACATGGAAATGCAGAAGTAGCAGAATTTCCCAAGTCATTTTAATGGAAATTTTAAATAGGGTAATTTTGGTTTTAGTGAGAACTGAGAAACAGGGAAATCCCTTTGGGGAAGAAAAGGAATTTATGAGTTTGCTAGTCTTGGTTTGACATAAAACATTCAGGGCAATGCCCTAGTAGGTCCCTAGGAAGCAGGAGAATGATACCCAGCCCTAAAGTATCACATAGCTATTAAGAGTGTACCAGCAGTGAGAGTGCAGCTAAATAATCAACTTGTATTCACATCTGTGCATGCTTATTAAACCTTCATATGTGGTTTGAGTTATCGCCTGCTGGCCATTTCATAGGCAACAGCTGCCTTTATAACATACTTGTACTAGCTTTGATAACATGGAGCCAGACTTGCGCAGTGGTCCCTACCTGATTTTCATCAAGGACAGCTATTGTGGGCTGCAGAAGCCTTGCCTGCTGATGCAAATTCTCTCTTCTGGCAAGCTGAGCTGCCTGTTGTTGTGACTGCCCAGTTTGTTCTTGTTTAGATGGTAGAGCTCACATCTGCAGTGATCAGAGCACAGCAAACCAGCCCTTTAGAATGTGTCCCACTGTTGATCTCAATTCTGACCATGATTTTGGGTATGCCTATTCTGTGAATGTGTTCTCGGGCCAGGTCCTTGTTAGCAAATTGCACAGGGCAGCAGCAGCTGTCTGTAGAGAGAAGGAGCCAGTGATGAAGATGGGGCTCCTGAGCCTCCCTGTGTTTTGTGGTCACTTTCGAGTAGCTCTTTTGGGAGTGCCTTAGGTGAGCTGGAGCTTGATTTTAGTCTAGTTTAGTCCCAGGGGGATCCCGTTAACGCCCTGGGAGGCTGCAAGACAGCTCCATCCCATAAGCCGGAGCATGGTTCCCGGTGGCCCCGTGCCCCAGGAGTCCTGCCCAGCCCCTACAGCTCTTCCCAGGAGCAGCGTGTCCTCCGGCCCGGCCCCTTCTGCTTGCCCCCTGCATGCTGGTGACTGGAAATGTTGCCATTTAACCTGCAGCCTAATTAGAAAAAATTGTATCGAGTAGACCTGTCCAAATACACAAGAGAAGCTTGCGGAGGCCTTCAGACCTATTTTTGTTCATGACCAAACTGTTTAAACACTGAATTAAACAGCAAGTGTGGGATTTCTCCTCTAGCAGATGCAAAAGGTTGAGTTGGTGGGGAAAAAAGACTCAAAACGCATCAAGGACTTGCCTCATTGCAGCATTTCAGACGAAAGAGGTGAAAATCTTGAGGCTCGGCAGGGTACTGTGCAGACTGTCAAACGAACCTCCACAAATGCTTGCGTGATGCTCAGGGCTCCCCATCCAGCAACTTGACTCCCAGCCAGCGTGCACCAGCGAGGAGACCAAGGCTCTTAGTGCTGGATGCTGCCCGGAGGCACCACCCCAGAAACTGCCAGCACCAGAGTCTGTCTGAGGGCTGGTACAAGGGCACATTAGGGCTTGGAGCCGCAGGAGCCTGGCCGTGTGGTCCAGCACTGATGGTCGGAGGCACTGAAGGTTTCCCTGTCTCCCTGATGGCAGCCGGTGTTGCCTGCAGCAGGGCAGTCCTTCCTTTCTCGCCTGTGGAGGGAGCAGCGTAGGGGCAGACCTCCAGGATTTTCTGGATGCCTTTAGCGGGCAGCATCAATGCCCTCACCAGCGCTCCCAAGAGCAAGGGCTTGGATTTCCTGGCGGGCATGGAGCTGTGCGCTACACGGTGTTTGATGCATGGACGTGGTGGGAAGGCCCTGCTTGTAACACTACTTTGGCCCAGCTCCTGAGAGCTGACTGTAATTTAACCACAGTGCGGACTTTCCCCAGAGGTGCTCCATGACACAGATGTAATCATAAGATTATTCCATCTCTTCCCTACCTCGTTTCAGTTTTTTTGCTCAAGTTTTTCTCACTCCTCATTCCTTGAGAGAAGTGAAACTTGCATTTCCAGAAGCAAAAGACTAGTGTGGTCATGAGTTTTCCTTATCAGATGATGATGCTCTTGAACCCTTTCATCCCAGGGCCCTAGAGAGCCATTTATAAACAGCGCCGAGTAGACTCGCCAGCCTGCCTGTGAAGTGTGTTGGCCTCTTCCCTTCTGGTGATCAGGAGACCAAAGGACTGAGCTCAAGTGGTTTGTGCTTGGTGTCACAAGAAGTACAGGTTGGGAGCAGAGCCAGCACCTCCTGACACCCAGTCCAGTGCTTTAGTCTCAAGCTCATTATTCATCTCTGGTCTCATTATTATTTATTTTTATTCCCTTATTTTATTCCCTTACTGTATTTCAAAGACCTTAAAGTTTCTTTACCTTCCTTCTCCTGAGTAGCAACAGTTCTTCTTTTGAAGGAGAAAGGAGAGTGTAGCTGGAATTTAAGGGCCATTCAAAGGCATAACAAAGTCGGATGATTAGTGGAAGTGGTTTTCTAGTAAAAGTAGTACAGACAGTACTATATGGTATGGTTAACTCTCTAGGAAAGGGTTGTCTTGTTCTCTGGGGTGGGTACAGTTGGGCCGTGACGTGGGCTGGAGCCTGCAGCTCTGCCACTGAAGCCCTGTAGTGGTCCTAGGATGGGCACCACTACGGTACCACAGCCTGCTGTGAGCCAGCCTTAGTGTTCCACCAGAGCATGCAGGAAGAGAATTGGGCTCTTTCGAGACACACAAAGTCCCCGACATCCAGCACTGAAAGGCACAGCCTTGCCTCCCTGCAAAGCCTGGTGGGCTGAGCCAGAGCGGTCAGTACATCCTTGGGCGAAGGTCTGCTGAGCACTGCCCCGTAGTCCCTCCTTGCTCGACCTCTAAGCCGCTTGGCAACATGCTGCTCAGCTCCTGCTTTTCCTCCCTCCCTAGATCCAAGTTGGAAAGTTCAACTACACAATTGCGATGCTGCACCTTGGAGGAGGAGAGACCGCAATCATCGTCTCCATTGTCATCTGCAGCATCTTGCTGGTCCTGTCTGTTGTAGGTAAGGGAACAGAACGATGAGTTTCCAGGCTCTGCTGAGGTTTTTTCTCATTGCATGTGGAGGGGTGAAGATGACTCACTCACATGTTAGGAAACCTCTGCGGGCTGCAGTTGTGCAATATCTGAAACTGGTCTGGGTGCATCAGGTAGCCACTCTTTGTACAGGACCAAGCCAGTACCCAAGATCAAAGCTTCCTGCAGCATGGGGTGTTTGCTGGCTGAATTCATAGTTCAACTCTGTTACTTGAGCCTGTGATATTTATAAACTTACCCTTTTCCCCCAAACACTTAGTAGCCACTATAATATAAAATAAAGAAGGGTGTGAGAAATTGGTCTTGGACTCATACTGACTTGAACAGGGCTCACTCACGGGCATGACTGTCCCAGACCATCCCAGAGGTCTACCTAGCCCAAGGTCCTGTCATCAGTAACAGCCAGTGACAGGCACCTGGCAAAGAGTATGAAGAACAGAGTAAGCATCCTTAGCTGCAGATTTGGAGCAGACACAACAGTTTGCTAACCTCAGTGGAAGCTGTGCAACACACCTGTGTCTTCTGGCTAGGGTATCTTCTCATTGCATGCCCAGAATGACTGTGCAGCAAGAAACCTGTCAGTTCACAGCAAATGAGATGTTTCTAATAGGGATTTAATTTATTTTTAATAAAGGTTATAACGCACACTATTTATTAAATGCATTAGACCTGTCATTAGAAACATATTTCTGGAGGCACGGGAAGACTGTCAGACATGAACACTGTAATACAGGTGGTAAACATCTTAAAATCTGTATTCATTAATCAGCTGGAATACATTAATACACAGTTAAGTTGAATATAGGCAGCCCGGACCTAAATTGAAGATGACAGTTACAGCATGATCATTAAATTCCAGCTGGTTTTACTTATTTACAGATAATTGACAACCGCCTGATCAGATACCAGTCTTGTTGTAGGTGTTAAACCAACACTGAATTTAGCTTTCTGCACCCGTGTCAGCAGAGGACCGCTCTGATCCCAGCTGCAGCTGCTCCTAAGACCTAGTCCAAAAGGCTTGTTCCCTTCCTCTTTTTCAGCTCTCTTTGTGTTTTGCACAAAGAGCCGCAGAGCGGAGCGCTACTGGCAGAAAACCCTGCTCCAGATGGAGGAGATGGAGTCGCAGATCCGAGAGGAAATCCGCAAAGGTAAGTCGCCATGCTGGGCACTGAGGAGGAGCCAGGACTGAGAGGGAGATGCCGGAATAGCAGGATTGAAGCCATTCACCACCTACTCTGTAGAAGTTTATAGAATTATTTATAGAACTATTTATGTGCCTTTGAGCTTTGGCAGGATTTGTGAATGAGGCTCAGTGGCTGGAGGTGTGGCTCTGCTGCTGTCTTGCTGCCTGACTTGGGCAAGCCACGGATCTTCAGTGTCACTGGTTTCCCTGTCTCGGGGTTAATGGTCCTTGGCTGTGTCAGAGGGTTGCTTGAAGGCCACACTAATCTTTAGTGTGCTTTACGATTGGGTGCAACAGAAATTGCAGCATGGTCCTGCTAGAGCAATGGGAGAAGCAATCTAAGCATCTGCATCTGATGTCCCTGCGGTACGTGACTGCAGCGTAGGCTGAGGTCCTCCTGCGGAACCAGAGTGAGGGCTGATCTTCTGGAGGCAGGGAAATGTTCTCTCCATCAGTGCCGTGGGATGTGACATATACTGCCGACGGTTAAACCCTGATGGTAATCTGCTGCTCCTCAAGAAAACCCTGCTTTAGCTCACTCGAGGGAAAGGCTCGAGGAGGCAGAGATGAGACATGCCATGTTTTTCAGTGCCAGCTTGCTTACTGCCTCAGCTGGTAGAGTATTGGAACTCTTACCGTCTGTGGGTCTCTTTGTGTAAGGTTTTGCGGAACTGCAGACAGACATGACAGACCTGACCAAGGAGTTAAACCGCAGCCAGGGGATCCCATTTCTGGAGTACAAGCACTTTGTCACCCGGACATTCTTCCCCAAAGTAAGGCGATACTGCATTTCACCGGCACCTAATCACTCCCAGGTCCTTCCTAACCAGATTGGGGCTCTGCTTTCCCTCTGCTAAAGGGTTATTACAGTGTAACAAAATCATTCCACTGTTATATATTTACTTGTCACATATTTCAGCCTCAATTATCATCAAAAGTGGAGCCACAGCTCCTGGGGTGTGAAGTGAGGTTGGGATTGCTTGCACACAAGAGGAGCCTGGCGGCAGCACTGTCCCACTCTGGCTCGCCCGTTTGATGCCATTGGACATCCTCTTCCGAAAGTGGTCTCTCACATGAGCAGAAAGTGCTGGGGGCTCCCCTTCTCCCCAGGGGCTCCAATGTCACCCCACTCTGTTTGGCAGAGGCTGAAGCTGAAGGGTGGCTGAGGGGTGTTTCTGCTGTCGGTGATCAGGGAGAGGGAGCTTTTTATTCCATGCAGCGTGCCACCGAGCATTCACAGCTGCTCTGCTGGTCCTCAGGAGCCTGTTAGATGTCTCTCTTTCCCCCTTTCTCTCCTCTCTCTCAAAGGCTGGGTGCATGGTGCTCCCAGTAAGATGCCCCTTGGGCACCCAGTCCCAGTCTGTCTACCCAGAGTCCTTCTCCTGGGCCGCACCAGACGTACCGGTGCCGTAATTCCCATCACCGGCTGCTTCGTTGTGTCACTGTGTGCCCTTAACAGCGGCTGTATTTCACCCCTGAGGTAGTTGCATTTCAGTGGTGAGGAGTGAGATGATGATTTATGACCGCAGAGTGTTTCATTAGTAGCTATTACTCAGGTTTTTAAGTTATCCAATCTCTATCTATCTGCACACTAGAGTCTTTAAGATTCAGGCTGCTATATGAATGTTAGAGATTTAAAGATTTTTCCCATCTGTTTCAAAAGTTACATATGTTAAAACACCCAGTACTCCTCTATTTTGACTTAGTCTTCAATAATGCTTTCTCTTCTGGGATTTTTCTAGCTGTCAAATTAGTCTATTTGCAGTCTCCCTACCCTAACAGCCTGTGTCTGCACAGACATCTGCCTCCCCCCATTCTTGTGGTGTTTGCTCATTCAAGAGGCTCTTGCAAAGTGTCTAAAGGCTTCGTAAACCATACCAATGCATTTCTTCATAATGGGTGGTCTTCAGTCCCGATGACATGTCTCTCCATCTCGTTCCCTTGTCATGCACGGCAATGAGAAGGTCCTCAGCCGGGTGCAGCCGCCCTCCCCTAACACTGTGTGCTTGGTTGCAGTGTTCCTCACTCTACGAGGAGTGCTACATCCTGCCATCCCAGCAGCTCAGCTCCCAGGTGGGCTCCCAGGTCCAGGAAACTCATCCACTCCTGGTGGGGGAATGGAAAGTGAGTAACCCACTAACAAAACAAATGCTTTTGAGTGGTTGTTAACCATACTCGCGTGTGCTGACAATGCCATGAGTTTTCTTGTGGTGTGTGGGGGATGCTTGATCACTGAAAACAATTAACACATACCAGCGTCAGATCAGCTTTGGCTGACTGGAGAAGGCAGATCTGTGGATCTGCTCTCACACGAAGGAGCATTGTCCTGAGATCCTCCTTGGCTCCACTGTGGGCTTTTCTTCCTGGGTGTATCGTATTGTATGTCACTTCAGTCCTATACGCAGTTCATGATAAATTAGATTCCTCCTAAGCAGGGACTTGGTAAAAGCTGTGGTTGTCCCAGAGCTGGGTTTCATGTGGTCAAGCAGTAGGAATTGAAGAATCAGAGAGTCGCTTAGGTTGGAAGGGAGATCTGCTTAAAGCAGCTCCAGCTAGATGAGGTTGCTGAGGACTTTGTCCAGCTGTATCAAATATCTTCATGGATGGAAATCCCACAGCCTCTTGGGGCCCCGTTCCAGTGTCCAACCACCTTAAAGGTGAAAACTTCCTTCCTTATATTTAATCAGTGTCCCATGCTCTATCTGGTGTCCCTTTCCTCTTGTCCTAGCACTGTGCCGGCAGAGAAGAGCCTGGCACTGTCTTCTCTGCCCTCCCACAGGGCAGCTGAAGACTGCAGTAAGATCTCCACTTACCAGTTCTTCTTAATGCTGACCAAACCCAGCCCTCTCCACCTCTCCTCATATGCCCACTAATTCTTTTGGCAGCCCACAGCTACACTTGCTCCAGTTTGCCAACATCCGTCTTGTAGCGGGGAGCCCAAAGCTGGCCACAGTACTCCAGGTGGCCTCACAAGTGCTAAACAGAGAGGAATGGCCAGTGCCACTGCCCTGCTGGCCAAGCTGCTTCTGATACAGCTGTGTATCACCCGCAGTTGTGCCCTCGCCAGGAGAGTGTGCTGCTGACTGGTATCAAGCAGAGGGGGTAAGGGGTCTTCAGCTCAGTACCTCCACATTCAGCAGGGACATCCTTGCAGTCAGAAGGATAAAAGCTGGAGGAAAACAACAAGCAGTGTTTTTCTCACTCTGCTTTCTAAATTTTTCTTTAGATCCCTGAAAACTGCAGACCCAATATGGAAGAAGGAATCTCGCTGTTCTCCACCTTACTCAACAACAAGCACTTTCTCATCGTGTTTGTCCATGCTCTCGAGCAACAGAAGGACTTTGCTGTTAGAGACAGGTATGAGCTTCATAACCAAAGACCTGGTAGCTGGAGGAGAGTGACTTATTCCTAACCTGTAAGCAATGCAGCCCATATCGGGAGCCGTGCAATTTAGTTGAAGGTTGAGTTACACTTGCCTCCCACTTTTCTATTAGAAATGGACGGCCATAAACCTCCATTATCCTGAAGAGCACCAAAAGGTATGAGTGACTTGCTCCTGAGTGTTTGTGTCCCTGAACACTTGGTTTACCTGTAAGAGGGTGCAAGCTGACCCAAGGTCCTGCAGCACTGAAAGAGGGTTTGAAGTTTTAACACCATTGAGAAGGCTCATGAAAATTGTCTGAAATACTGCCTTTGTGTTTGGGTGTTTTTTGATGCCAGTTGGCAGTTTAGTCTTGTTGGATTGGTGCTTGAGTCATACACCATTCTGTGTTTCAGATGTAACCTGGCCTCCCTGCTTACTATTGCGTTGCATGGGAAACTGGAGTATTACACCAGCATCATGAAGGACCTCTTGGTGGATCTAATAGATGCTTCAGCTTCCAAAAACCCCAAGCTGATGCTGAGGAGAACAGAATCCGTGGTGGAGAAGATGCTCACCAACTGGATGTCTATCTGCATGTACAGCTATCTCAGAGTAAGAGAACCAGATCACTGCTGTTGTGGGTACGAGTTCAGCACTGCGTGCAGTGGTTGTGAGGGATGTGTGGGACAGCTGAGGACCTAAATACCTGCCAGCATTGCCACTTGAATGGTCACTAATGGTTGACAAACTCCAGTGTATTGAAAGGTTCAAGAGTGGAAAAGCAACCTTAAATTCAATTGCGTCTCCACTTCTGCCTGGGGATTTGGTGAGCTCAGACTTCGCGGCAGGCCTTTCCTAACGCCAGAGCACAAACTAACATTTTCACCATGCTTGAGAAGAGAGCCGTAGGGGAGTTGAAAAATAACCAGAATGGCTTGAGGTTTTGGAAACTGTTCCAGTTAATTGTTGTTTTCTCTGACCAGCTCGCGCAGCCGTACTCATGGTCACCAGCCAGTTCAGCATTGCCTGTCTTGAGCACGAGAGCCCTGGCTGTCGGGAGGGATGGTGGCACTGGGGCAGTGGGCTGCTCTGTGTCGGTGCTCATTGGTATGTGGGGCTTCTCGCGCAGGAGGCGTCCTCGTGGTTCCGCAATGGCCAGACAGATCTTAGCAGCAGAGGTGGGATGTCTGTCCCAGAAGCCTGACTGTCTTCCAATGGTAACGAAAAGGAATATATTTGGCATTTCAGAGCACATCAGCAGTCCATCTGCTCAGTGCTTTATCTCCAATGTTTGCCAGTTCTGCTTGGAATTTCCCAGAAGAATTGAGCAATAACTTAATTGATTCCACGGCAGTTAATTGGAGGACACCCCATTATACCCGCAGGGGAAAGCCTTGAAAAAGCCTTTGAAAAATCTCTTCTCCCAAAGTGTTTCCTACAGCCACAGAAGCAATACTGTATTGTCCTCATACATATCATAGTGTCTTCTGATCCCAGCTGATGATCACTTTTTGTCCTAAAGCCTGTGGTTTTGTAGTTCGTAATCTTTCATTTTAGCTCACATAATTAGCCAGTATAATGAAATAAAAGTTACAGGAGTGAATGAGGATGGCTGTGCCAATGCAGCATGGCTATCCAGCCTGTAAGAGCAGAAAAGAGTGAATTAGTGAATTTTTTTAATCTTCAGGTTTTGTGCCTGTAGTTAAACCATTGGAGAAAAAGTGCTGATCTCTCCTTTTGGAGAGTGGAGACCACATGTGAGGCATCTGATCCAACTCCAGTTTGTGCTAAAAATGGACATTGTGCAAGAAGGCTTTCTCAGGGGAAAAAAAAAAAAGAGGAAAGAAAGTCGAGTCTTATCACGTGGACCTGAAGACTTGGGCACGTTACATAGCTAATTAATGGCAAGGAGCTCCCGAGTGCCAGCACGCTGCCCTTTCCTGGGGCGCCTGGCGGGGAGGTGCCCATGACCACAGGCTTGTCCAGGGTCTGCAGTGGGGCCAGTGGCCATCCCTGCGGCCGCGGCAGTGCTGGTGCCAGCTGTGAGCGGGCTTTCCCGTGCCCTGCAGCCCTGGCCCACCCTGCGGAGGGAGGAGGAAGGACAGGGTACGGACGGGAGCAGGTCTGCGGGGTGGCGGTGACCCTTTGCAGAGCTGACAGGCCACCAGCTGAACCTGCATTTCCATTCGCCTGCGGGTGGGTCCTCAGCAGGGGCTAACATTGCACGCTGGGTTTGCAGTCCCCTCCTTGCTTCACGTGCTCAGCCTGAAGCCATGGCAGTGGAAGCCATGGCAGCACTTTCTACCGCAGCCTATTTCCCATTTCTGAAAAGCAAACGGTTTCCATACTAGAGTGCAGTAAAGAGTTGATTTCCAAGAGACTTTCAGATCACGTGTGCTCCACAGTGAGGGTGGGGGACGTGATCAGAGGAGAAACCATGCTGCCTGCTGAAATATGGAGGAGGAGGAGAATTGATGAGACAGAAATGTGCAGAGAGGCCCTTTGGCTGTCCCAGGTGGACACGAGCTCAGCTGTGCAAAGGGATGGGGGGGTCTCGGTCTGGATCGGCAGAGCTGGGACCTTTCCCTGCCGTGCAAATGAGCACGGAGCCACTGCAGTCAGACAGACGGCATCTCCTTATACGCGGGCTGGTTTCAGCTCAGGGCTGTGATTTAAATACTAGCGATAGTCAAACACCTCCCAAGTGCCTTGCGTTCCTCTGGATCAAACTCTGTTGCCTTCAGAGAGGCATTTCTTGGTTAAAAAAAAAGGCTGCCCGTCTGCCTGTAGCACTGGTCTGTCAGACGTGTGACGATGGGTCTGGTTTTCATTCCTGAATTATCCCCATTAATCACAACGTCTATTTGAAACAGCTGCTGCAAAGGTCCCTGCCATTGTGCAGTGGAAAAATTCCAAGTGCTTGTATTTTCCCTTGTAAGTCAACGCTACATGCTCGAAACATTTGTTTCGTATTAATGCTCTGCCTAACAGTCCGTCCATTTGTGTTTTGGGGGAAAATGATTTGAAGGAGCTGTCTTCAACTGGGAAGGAGTTGCAGGCCACAGTCACTAGTGGTCTGAACATGTGGAGGGCACCTGAAGGCAATGGAGTCACCACTTCGACAGGGGGAGGTTTGGCTCGGTGCATGCAGGAGATATGATGATAGAACCAGCAGGAGGCTTGCTGCTTGGGACTGGATTCAAATGAATTTTGCAGCATTTGCACAATCGATGCAGACCTCTGTTTCTGCAGAACTGAGTGAGAATCCTAGATAAAATGCTCCATGTCTCTTCTTTCTGCTACAGCTTTGGTGGAAAATGCTGGGGAAAAAAGCCTTTCCCGTGAGATACCGTGGTACCATTGTGTCTGGGTCCTAACAGGATCGGGGGACCCAGAGTTAAAGGAAAATTAAGGTCTTGGAATTCAGTTTTTAGGTCTGGGTCCAAGCTTCCCGAAGTTTTGCATGTGGGATGGAGCTGAGGTTTGGTTCTTCACAGAATGCAAATAGATAATCGTCCCAAAATTAGCAAGCACTTGGGATAAGCAGCTGTTTTCTGTGCTTTTCCCACCCCAGCCTCACCAAGACATTTTGGAAATGGCTGTAACGTGTTCCTGGGAGGACATCTCTAATGACTTGTCAGCCTTGTTAATAGGGCAGCAACATGTGAATTCAGTCTGTGCTCTAAACTTTTTTTTCCCAAGCATATAAAAACCAAGCCCTCCCACGCTCATCGTGCGTGAAACAGTTCAAGTAATGCCAGCCTGAACTGTGCTTTCCATTACTGCGAAGTTATTTCAGTGCCCTGGGTAGCTTTAAGAGCCCGTAACAGTTCAGTCAAAAATGAAAATGAAGTCTCATTAAAATACATTCACAATAGGAGGAAAAAAGGCCCCAGACTGTGTTTTTTTAAGTATTTTTTTGTCCTGAATCAGCACTGATCTCTTCTAGTTAAACTTCCTTTCTCCCAACTAGCCAAGTCCAAAGACAGTTTTGATTCATTTCCAGATGAGTTTTCTGAACAATGCTTGAGGTTTCCAAGTTTGCCATTTTATCTCTAGTCCCTGCCTGCCAGCCCTTCTTTCCCCTCTTTGAAATTTGCTGTCTGATTAGCACTTTTGCAGATTTCCATAACATCCCACAGTTCCTGAGCCTGAAAGCCAAAAAGCCAAATAGAAATAGTATCTCGCCAGCGGAGCGCTGTCGTTATTTCCCATGCAGCCAGTCCTGGGGCTGATCCTGCTCCTGCACACTGTGGCGGGTCTGAAACGCCCACTCCTCCGCTTCCCCAGGCTGGCCCTTCCAGTGCAGCTTTACACGTGCGGGAAGGTGCCACATGGCCAGCCCCGACCCGTGCAGCCTGTGCTGGTTTCGAGCCGTAAAGAGCTCCTGTATCAGCAGGACTGGCACTTTTTTAATATTTTTGGAGGCAGCTGCATAGCCGTTGGCAGCCCCCTCACATCTCTCTGCGGCCAGAGCTGTGGCCAGGGCCAGAGCTTCCCACGGAGTGGACGGGGCAGGCTCCAAAACCCGGCGCTGAATTTAGCCTTGGGTTCGTCCTTGCCGTGTGTTCACACACATGCACCATAAACAGAGTTCCTGTTCGTAGCAAGGCCGTCCTCAGGATCTGTCAGCACTTCTTGTCTAGGGTCAGCTTGGCAGTGCTCCACGGTTCACATTATGGGGAAAGCAGGTCCTGCAGCCTGGGGACGTCTCTGTGTTGGTGTCATCCCCTTGCTTGTTATCTCGTGCTCCCGCCATTCTTTTGGAAGCTAACTCTTCTTTCTGTCTTCTGACACTTTCTCCACTCTGTTTGCGATCCTCAACTTCTCCACATCCCCACGACTTCATGTCTTTGCTTTCTGGAAGCCGTGTCTTCCTCCAATTCCAGCACTGGCAGCTCTGCTGCCGATCCTGTTTTATGCTGCGTGCTCAGAAGGAGCATTGCAGGAAGTCATTAAACCCCGGCAGAAGGCCCAAGGAGCTTCCCTGTGTTCATAAAAAAGTTGCCCTCAGAAAATAAAGTGGGTGCACCATTGGCACAGATGGTGCGTGCCCACCTACAGCCCGGCTGTAGTGTCTTATCGTCAACTGCACTGAATGCAGCCGAATCAAAATTGACATCAAACTAATTGCTTTAGCAATTATAGGGCAATTAGAATAAAACAGTCACCAAGTCTTAATTAAGAAGCAGATTGAACAGGATTTAGCAGCTCCTAGCTGAGAAATATCAAAATCATTCGATATCTGTTGTCTTGACTAGGATTTCAGATGGCAGGAGTGTTTGTGCGGGGTGTGTGTGATACTCAGAAAGTACATAAATGTGCAATAATTTGCACTTGCCTCGTTGGAAGGAAATTGCACATGAACATTAGGGAGAATGGGACGTACTCCAGTACTGAAAAGTTTCTTAAGAAAATAGCTTATGTTTTACTTGCACATCAGCGTAGCAGACAGCAGAGGATCAGAAATCTGGCATTAAACCATGTAGCTGAACCACATCACAAATAGCTGGTCCCTGTTATGTTTTTTGTTTTTATTGCAGCAGTGTCACAATTCACCTCTTTCCTGTAAGACGAAGTTTGATGAATGTAAGGAGTTAAATGGTGTGTTTGCTTGCTGTTGCATGGGAACAGCTTGTTGACCCTGATCCTTTCTGTTTTGCTGTGATCAGGGCTCTGCTGTGGTATGAGAAGTATGAACACTAGTTCCCAGAGCCACAGGCACATGCAGTGGGCTCGCTTCCATGGATTTCAATGGCAAACCAGGCAGTGCAAAGAGGGGTTCAGCTGACACATGAGAAAGCTGGGCACCCAAATATCTCTGTAGGCCTGGATTTTTGTGCACATCAGCCCCATCCTTGTCCTGCTGAGTGCAGTACATTGTACAGTCTGCACTCTGTCAGGTTGCAAGAAACATCTCTGTACTGGAGTATGCCAGATTCTCCCTGAAGTTCGTGTGTAATTTCACATGTAAATTAATGCACATTTGTATTTTGCTGACATTGTGCATGCATGTACCCACTCAGCACAGCTACACATATGCCCTTACCTTCTGAGCGGTACCCGAGCACTGCCCGTGAGACAGCAAATGCTGGCACAGCCTGTTGGTGGCAATCCACAGCCCTACAGTACTTGCTGTAGAACTTGGATGGGATATGTTGATGCTGACAAGCACAGTTCAGCCTCCCTGAAAATCACCTGCAGCTGTTGTCGGCTGTTATGTCCTCTTCCCTGTCTGCGCTGTCATGTTGCCACAAGTCTGAAAACTTGTGAGCAGCCTCAGAGACATGCTGGTGGGAGTTGGGTGGCCATGGCACTGAGTACCCACCAGGGGTTCGCAGCACCTGGGGTGGACCAGTCCTGCTCCCTGATGTATGGAGGCACCTTCAGTGTCCGCGGAGAGCCTGTCCCTGCCACACCGCTGGAAGGAGTTACCACCACCAGGTCCAGTTTGCTTACTTGGTCTTCTTTCCTTTCCCCAGGAGACGGTGGGAGAGCCCTTCTTCCTGTTGATCTGTGCGATCAAACAACAGATTAACAAAGGGTCCATCGATGCCATTACGGGGAAAGCCAGGTACACCCTCAATGAGGAGTGGCTCCTGAGGGAGAACATCGAGGCAAAGCCAAGGGTGAGTACCTACACCCCAGGGGTCTGACGGGTACGTACCCCAGCAGGGCAGTTGTGCAAGAGGCTGATTTGGTACACATGCAGGTGCGATAACCACATAAATTGTACACCTGCGCAGGCACCTTGCTGCTGCCTAAGCTCACGACTACAGAACAAGGCTCACAATGACTGTAGGAGTAGAGGGAGGTAAGAAAATTTGTTCTGCCATATTCAGAGAGTTAAACCAACAGGTTTACTATTCACGGCAAAAGAGCATCTTCACTAGCAGCGGGAAGGTGCTGGCTGTAAACCTGAGTCCTGGGGTGAGGGCTTTGCCCAGGCTGTTACAGGAGTGATGCTGAAAAGCGGTTCTGCAAAATGCCTCCTGTGGGAACAGGACTGACAAGGGCTGTGCGTGTGAAGGCCTCAGTTCCTTCCAGTGCCTGATGCAGAATTCAGCAGATGCCTTTCCAGAGGCTGGGTCAAATCCTGCTTTCAATTACCTGGCATAAATCTGGAGCAGCTTCACTGAAGTCAGTAGGTTACCCCAGATGTGCATCACCGTAACTCAGAGCAGGTTCGAGCTCCACATCCTCTGCAGATTCCTGTTACCAATTGACCTGTAAATTTACAGTGCAGACCAAGAGGGGTTAGCAGCAGGGCGCAAAGTATTAGCTTTCTTGGGAGAAATGGTAACTTTGTAAGTCTGAGCAGGGGAAGTGTGGCTGCTTCCTACTTTGCAAGAAGAGAAAGGAAAGTATGAACAGGGTATGTTGGAGGAAGGAGAGCAACTGCAGGGTTAGTGCTAACTAACTGGGAATCCCCCACATTGCTGGTAGCTGAACCTCTGCTTCAAAAAACACCTGCATAGTATACAATGTGAAATAACATCTTCATTTAATGCTATGGAGAAAATTGGACTTCACCTGTGCATTCACAATGTTCATAGTCAAGGATGCTGACTCTGTATCCCGATAGACTGAAAAGCAGCGTTTGTAAAGGAACCTCTAGGCTGTGAAAATCCCAGCCATAACTCTCAGGTGTACCAAGTGTCCTCCTAAGAGGCAGCTGTGCTTATGCACAAGCAATGCTCCTGGCATCTGCAGCTTCCCGCTCTGGGCTTGCCAGCCAGGCGGTGAGATGGCTTCAGGGTTGCATTCACCACTAAATGAAGGCGCAGCGTTGCCCTCAGGTTTGGCCGTACCTCAAGCAGAGGATAGAAGCAGAGGCAGAGTTGAGGCTGTCCCAGAGTGAAGCCCCTGGGCGGGAGGGAGATGCCACGCTCATAGCATTTGGGTCTGCACAGCTTGGGAGAGGAGGAGGCACCTGGACTCTGCCTCTCCTCGCTTGACTGGAGTGGCAGCCGCTCCCAAAAGAGGAGAGGATTTTTTACAGGAAGAGAGTCGTTTTCATTGCCCTGCAGCTTTCTGCTGTGACTGTAGCAGTAGCTGTGCATCCCTGAGGTCCAAGCAGGTGTTTGTAGCAGCCTGCAGCCCCTTGCAGCTGCTCATCCTGCTGTTCAGTATGCTCTTGAGCAGGTTATTGGGTGGTGCTGGTGGTGGGCTCCAGTGTTGCAGCAGACACAGCCTGCAGCATGCTTGAAGCTTGTTTAAACAAAGAAGCTCGGCCCATTGTGTCAGGGAGAGGCTGAGCAATGAGCCTTGGCGGTCCCATTAGTCACCGGTTGGAGCCAAGAAGCTGCAGACATGACTGGTTATGGGGGCTGACCTTTCCTCCCACCCCCGAGGTGGTCTCTGCGCGTCAGGGTTAAGGCCCATTAGCAAGGCAGCGTGAGAGGAGATTGCAGTGTCGCTCCCTGTGTCCTCCTGGCTCCGTCAACAAACAGGGGCCTTCAGCCTCCAGGGGCTATAAATCAGCACCTCTCACTGGCGGTAAAGCCTAGATGACTGCATTTGTTCAGCCTGATTTCCAGCAGCAGGGGGTCCAGAGCACACGGGCAAGAGCTGTGTGGGTGCCGCAGGCTCCGTGCACCATTGGGAGCCAGCAGAACTGGGCGGGTCACCCTTAACTTGGCCTCTGCCTACAGAACCTCAACGTCTCCTTCCAAGGCTGCGGGATGGACTCCCTGAGTGTCAGAGCCATGGACACAGACACGCTCAGCCAAGTAAAGGAGAAGATTCTGGAGGCCTTTTGCAAGAACGTCCCCTACTCCCAGTGGCCAAGGGTGGAAGACGTCGACCTCGGTAAGGACCAGATGCATTGGACCAGCCAGTCCTTAAGCCCAGGTGAAGCACCTGATGTTGCACACTAGCTCTTGGTATCTACAGAGGGCAGTGGCTGAAGCAGCACTGACAAGAGGGCAGACATCAGGGCAGCCTTTTCCTGAGGATGGTCTTTAGGAATGAGTGATGAGACCAGATACCGGTGGGCAGGAATAACTGGGCACATAACTGGAAAGAAGCTTTAGGAAAGCCCAAGTGGAGCAGAGGGATGCTTGGACTTGCACCCTTTAAAGTGTACAGTGTTAACTCTAGAACAGGAACCCTCTAAAATGCCCCTGAGCCTGCAGGTGGCTTGTTAATACATGTCTCTCCATAAGCAGCCATAATTGAGCCCATGGACTCCTGTCTGGCCATAGATTCAGATCTGTCATTTGTCTACCCAGTGGCCGACTCCTTCTCCCCAAATTTAAGAAGGATCCAAGCCCAATGCTGGTGAGAGAAACCCACGCTGTCTGTGGTGCCTCCGTGCTGCGCAGCACGCCATGGAGATGTGCCCCGGCTGGCAGCAGTCGCAAGGCATGACGTTCAACGTAGTCAGTGCCAGAGGGAAGAACGCCCCGGGCTGGAGCGGTGACGGGACCCCACTCCCATCAGCTGGTGCACGTGGTGTGTCCCCCATTCACAGATACATGACCAGCTCTGCCCGGTGGGCAGCCGCCACCAACCTTCAGTGGCCACGTGCAAGCCACACAGCATCTCACCTGCCTGGTGGTCCATGAGGCAGGTCCCACACAGCCCCCGGGGTGAGATGGGGAGAGCGGAAGGGGGGAGATGTGCTCCTCCCCGTCGCTCCGAGCAGAGCCTTTGTCACCTCTCCCAGCTCCACCCAGGTCTTCTCTAGTCTGGGAATCCCCGCTCCATGGGCTAAGCCTGGACGCTGTTGCTAAATGTCTGCTCTGGTTTCACAGAGCCCCGGAAGCCCTGGCAGGGGGGCTGTGCAGCCCCCCCAGTGCTGTGTGGCCGGTCCCCAGAGCCCCAGGCCCCACTGCACGTGCCTCCTTCGGGCTGATGTCTCACTTCTCCCTTCTCTGTGTCCAGAGTGGTTCGCCACCAGCACTGACAGCTACATCCTCCGGGACCTTGATGACACCTCGGTGGTGGAGGACGGCAGGAAGAAACTCAACACATTAGCACACTACAAGGTAAACCTGCCAGCGCTGCAGGAAAGCTTTGCTTCCTCGGAGCCTGCCTGGCCTCAGGGGTGAGCTGCGGTTCCCCCTCCAAAAACAGGATCATCAGGAACTAGCAGGGAGGTTGCCATAGCTCCGAGAGAGCTTCCGGGGAATAGACATCTGCCCTGGCGAGACACTCGTTAATATTGCAACACACTGAAACTAATTAAACACTCTTCATGCAAAACAAGTTATTACTGACAACAGAAAGAGGAGGGAAAAAAGCTCCTATTCCCAACGGCCGGCAGCTTGGCTGATTAGTATCACTCTGCTCTTGATCTGTGCTCCTGCTGAAATCACTGGCACAGTTGTCGCTGTCTGCCCTGAGAGCAGGGGCTAGGGATGCCATTGAGGAGCAGAGGCCAAAAATGTGGGGAAATGTAGCGAATCAAATTGTTTTCTTGACCAGTTTTCCTTTTAAAATTAAATGAAACCAGAAATCCTTATATGATTTCCATATTCCCTAGTATGCCTGGGAGCATAATCCTCACTGGTCTGTAACAGTGCATGGAAAATCAAGAACGGAGCTAAGTACTTATTAATATTATTATTTGTGTAACAGCCGTGCTGCAGAGCCCCACTGCTGGCACGGTGCCCTGCTGCACTGAGAGCCGGAGCCGCAGCACAGAGGTAGTACCAGCCCCACAGGTCCAGGCTGCAGCCAGGTTCCTTCTCCCCTTCTGGGGAAAGGCAAAACAGGATCTGCACAGCATAACACTCTTTCCTCTTCAAATTACCTGGTGTCGGCATCCAAAAAAGGTATCTTGGATACATGTATTTGCCTGATTCCCATCGGATTTGAGAACCTTGCTATCTCGTATTTGCATTTAAAAAACCCTTTCCACATAGGGCAGTGCCGTTACTGCCAGTTTCCAAGCTGGGGAGCAGGGGCAGGGCAGGGCAGGCACAGAGGACGTTTTTGGCAGAGCAGTCACTGCACCAGCATCCCACAGCTCCCGGGATCTCACTGGGGCTGCCCCCAGCTCCATGGGAGGCACCATTAAGGCCCCCCCATCATCGAGGCTTCTCTTCCCTTCCTCTGCAGATCCCCGAAGGGGCATCACTGGCCATGAGTTTGTCAGACAAGAAGGACACCACGCTGAGCAGAGGTAATGTCTCACTTCTCTTCCCCTGTTGCTGGTGAACGGGCAGAAATACTTGTGTTTTTAGAGGAGCGTCTCTGGCCAGGGATGCTGAGAGTCGGCTGCCAGCCCCCTTGCCTGTGGACGCTGGGGTGTGGCGTTAGCCCATGCAGGGCTGGCTCTGGCGTTACCAGCAGTCGTAGAGCACCCTTTTGTAGTGGCACACTGGGCAGAGCTGGGCATCAGTCGGGCCAGGGAAGACACTGAGCACGGACTGGGACTGCGGCCACCGAGCGAGCTGGCCAGCTGGCAGCCCAGGACGTGCTCAGGAAGCCCTCTGGGTCCTGCAGGATCTCCACTGCTCTCCTGCAAACCCCCTTTGCCCATGCTGTGGTGTATGTTTGGGGCAGAGATAGCCATGGGGCTGCAGGAGACATACCTCCCTCCTTCCCACGGGGTTCCCCCTTGCTATGGCTGAGCCATGTGCCCGTGCTCCCCATGGGGACTGCAGGTCTGAGTCCTGCCATGCAGGCAGTGGCAGTGCAACTGTCCCAGGTGGGACAGATGGCAAGACAGACAGGCAGAGTGGAGATACTTGGCACTTTAACGACTGCCCTGCATGGTGGCATTGCCTGAACTGCAGCCAGCACCCGGGGGGAAGAGAGGTGCAGGAAGCAGGGTTTCTGCAGGGTGTGGGCAGAGCAGGCACACTGGACCGCACGCAGCTGGGATTGTAATGGCCACAGCATGAGGACATCCATGTCAGTGCTGCTGAATAGCCCTGTCCGTCACTGCCCGTCCCTCCATGGCTGCTGCCGGGCTGTGTGCTGCCCCTTCCCCTGTGCAGCGAATGCTCCCCACCAGGCGCAGGTGGGGGAGCTCCAGCCGGACCAGGGGAGCAGGCAGCAGGTCGAAGCTGCAGTGGCCACTGGAGAGGTCACAGATCCCCAAGAGTCTGGGACTGATCGTGGAGAGTGGGTGGCTTCCACACCCCTTCTAACTTCAAGGCTTTTCCATGTCACTTGCAAAAGTGGGGGTTTGTGCCTGCTTTTCCTTCTGCAGGAGAAATGAAGAAGGTCTGGGAAGTATACATTTCTGAAACACACATTATGGGAGGTGCAAGTGTCCTGCTTGTGGTTTTACTTTAAACATGTGTTATCCAGTATCCTCCTCTCTTTGATTGCTGGGGTGCTGAGTGCTTTCCCAGCCATTAAGGTAGAGGTGTTTGCACCTTTCATCTCACACCCTCATTAGAGGGTTGTGTTCAATCTGTGCTAACAAAGTGAAAAAAAGAAAGGATCTGAAACCACTTGATTGGAAAAGTCCTTTCCCTCCCAGTTACACATGTTCAGTTTCTTGCCAGCATATTTCTAGGTTTCAGGCTGTGCAGAGAGTGAAAATAGACCAAGGGAGACAAAAATTCACATTGAACAAGGGGTTTCAAACCCTGTCTCCAGGCTACCTGCACAGCGCCTGTCTCTGCAGTGGGAGTCCTTTCACCCGCTGGAGCGAGGAGCTGCTTGGGGCTGCAGCTGCCCCGATGAGGAGGCTAGGAGATGGTCCAGGGCACATGGGCCTGCAGGGCATAGCAGGGCATCACAATGCAGGAGTGCCCCTGTGCTGATCCTGCTCTCGTGCCCTCTTGGGTCCTTCCTAAAACGCCCCTTGGGAGACGTCAGGTCCTCCTTAAAGTACTTCCTGAGGTACTTGCCGTGTGCGCCAGAAGGCAATAAACAACCCCAAAGCAAATTAAAATACTGAGGTCACTTGGGGTGGGAACACCAGCTCGGTGTTGGGGTTCTTGGGGAAAGCGAAATGCCTCCTGACGTGGAGGGCATCTGCGGAAGCAGGTTTCAGTTTGGGTCACCTGACTGAGCCGCCGTGTCTCTCTCTCTCTCTCTCTCCTTCACAGTGAAGGACTTGGACACCGAGAAGTACTTCCACTTGGTAAGTATCCAGCTCCTGGCTGCGGAGGCTGGCGGCTGCATGGTGGGGGGCTGCTCTCCCCTCCTGCCCTCCCAGGGGAGTGCTGATGGGGAGCAGAGCCGTCGCTCCAGGACACCCGCTCTGCAGCGTAGAACCGGCATGCGAGGGGACGGGTCACAGCGGTGGCTCCACTCCCCCAGATCTCTCCTGCTGCCGTGACAGCGAGGATGCTGGCGGAGTGCAGGCGGGCGGCACAGCCGAGCCCAGGGTGGCTGGCAGGGCGCTGCAGGAAGGGCTCCTTGCGGCAGTGGAGGGGTGCCCATCTAATCTCCTGTGTATTTCAACATACTTCACCTTTACGATGGCTGCCCATTGGCAGACAATGGAAGCTGTTGCTTTTGTCCCTGCAAACGGGTGCCGAACAGGCTGTTTCATCTCTGGCAGCAGCCGGTCCCTGCTGCACTGGGGCAGGCAGGCCCTGGGCTGTGGTGAGCTCTCAGCCAGGCAGGGGGGCCAGGTTGTCCTCTGCTGCCAGGCTGGCTGTCCGGGAGACATCCCCTCGGAAGGCGGCAGCCTGGAAAGTCCTGGGAGCAAAGAGGTGACCAGTCAGGCTGTGTGCATGCAGCGATCCCTCTTCTCTCCTGCACTTAAGTAAGTCCATGGGTCCTGTTTTTCCAGTGTATATGATGAAAGAGGAGAAAATATTCTCAGCCTCGCTGATATTAATTTAATTCATCTCTGTGGGCTGGAATGTCAGATGTGATGAACAAGCTGGATCAGGGCTCGTTAGTTTTCTTCAGAGGGGCTCAGAGGTGCAGAAAGGTTATCTGTAGACAAGCTTTAGTATTATGGGACATAATAAAAAATTACCAGGATGGCAAAATAATTGTTGTGCCTGATGTAGCTGTCAGCAGCCACAGAGAGTTCAGGAGCACGGCGCAGCGCCGCCGGTAGCACCCCGCACAGCCTTGGTCAAGTCACCTACCGGGAGCTCCTGGCATGCCGCCTGCTTCCCAGAGCTGGGGAGATTTATTAGTTCCTGCTTGTGCGCCATGCTGGAAGTACGAAGTGCTAAACGTTGCTAAAAGCTGTTGTGAAAAAAAGTGTTATGGACAACAACAACAATATTTTATAGCCTGATTTTTTTTTTTCCCCTCTGGTAAAGTTTCCGTGCTCAAATAGAGTACAAACACACAATGCATGCATGCACGTGCACTCACACACGTGTACATGCAGAGCAAGGAGGGAGAAGGGATGGGAAACCAAATGTGCATATGTGAAACAATGCCAAGATGGACTTAAATGGCTTGCTAGGTCATTATAGAGCAGTAATTAACTGACTTGACTGTGGAATATTTAGATTTGTTTTTAAAAAGGCCAGGGCAGGAATATTGGCTGATCATTCTTGCACTTTTTCCAAATCTAAGAAAAGCTGGTTTCCGTGGAAGCCTTGTGCATTGCTTCTGGGAGCCTAAACTGCAGCCACACAGGAGTATTGCACAGAGACCAGGAAGGCGAGCAGACTAACATCCAAAGAGAGATTGATTGCTTCATTTTCTTTGTCTAGCTTGAGAGAGGCAATAAAGAACACAAGAGAAACAAATGTCAGAAAAACTGAGTATTATGAATTGCTTTTTTAAAGCCATATAAGGATGTATTTATAACACAGTAACTACTTTCTAATTTAATTTTATATGCAGTTGAAATTCTATGCTTAAAGGAAAATTCAGTGTGACACTTGCAGAGAGGAGCGCTCTGAACATGTGTTTTATATTGGACCAGGTTCTCCCAACCGATGAATCAGTGGAACATAAGAAGTCCCACAGACAGAGCCATAGGAAGAAAGTCCTACCAGAGATCTACCTGACCAGGCTGCTCTCCACAAAGGTAGGAGACAGGACGCCCTCATTCGTGGCAGGTACGATTGTTGTTTGCGGTCTGTAACAAGAAGGCTACTCTAGGGAAGGAGTGCTGTGGGGCCAGTCACTCTGAAGAGGTGGTGGGACTCCTCTGTCCTGGATGACTGGAGCATGTTTAGTGAGGCTGCTGGGCACCACTGGCTCCTTGGGTTCTCTCCAGCTTTCCAGCTCGCCCTCAGAGCAGCAAGCAGCACTGTTGCGTGAAGCCCCACACGATCTCCCCAGGCTGGTCTGGGGTCTGTGCACATGAAAGGGATGCTGACCGCCTCAGGGCTTGTGATGCACAGTTTAGACCTGAACCCATCTCCCCAGCGAGACATCCTGCTGGGAAAGGAGATGGTGCTTAGCTCTGGGAGCAGGGGGAATGTCTGTGCGATCTTAATTCAGATTTGAACTTCCCCACTCTCTGCAAGTGTTCAGCTCCAGCAGTTGGGCTCCCAGCCCATCTTTAATCCCAGCATGATGCCTCACTGGAGCAGAGATCACAAGAATGGCCAGCAGTCTCTAGTCTTCTTTGTATTTACTATGCAGAACAATCACAGATGTGAGATCCTAGCAGTAAGAAAGAAAAATCTTGATGCCAAAAGAAATTAAACCCAAATGCAAGCTAATTGTATCACTATGCACAAACAAACCTTTCCCTCCCTGCTTCAGCATCCCCTTTCTCTTCTGATTTATCCAACTGGCAGAAAAGGATTTCCCCTTGTGCGCAACAGTCGCAGCCCCTCGCACTGTTTTCTTGGGCTTGGGTGCTGCTGCTTTCCCCAGTCTCCATTGTGTGCGCTTGTCCCGCAGGGCACGCTGCAGAAGTTCCTGGACGACTTGTTCAAAGCCATTCTCAGTATCCGAGATGATAAACCACCTGTGGCCGTGAAGTATTTCTTTGACTTCCTAGAGGAGCAAGCAGAGAAAAGAGGGATCACAGACCCTGACACTATGCACATCTGGAAGACCAACAGGTTTGGAAGACGAAGTCTCTTCTTTCTTTCCTTCCTTCCTTCCTTCCTTCCATCTCTCAGGAGCAGCAGCTGAAAAGCCTTGGTGTCCTGGACTAATCATTAGGTTGCTAAAAGTAGAAGAGATGACTTGGAAAACAGGAGGGGTGGTGGCGAGGGCAGCGAAAGATGAGGCCAAACACAGACTTGGAGAGCTTTGAACAAACAGAGCTCAGGGAAACAGAGAGCTGGAAGAAGAGGCATAGGCAGATAAAGGGCAGAACAAACTACCACACTAATAAAAATAATTAAAGGAGAAACAGAAGAGGGACAGGATGACGGGAGACAGCAATGGTGTTAGCTCCAAGCATTGGAGGTGGGAGACGGAGTCCAAAATCAAGTCAGGTCTTAAAACATCATGGAGATTTTAAAAACAGCATATTTGGCTCCTTTTCATTTGCTTTCTGGCTTTTCAGCCCTTGGGGGCACTTTTTCCGGCTTATCTCTGTAACCAAGCTGAGACTCCAGGGTATTCGCAGGACTCCAGGAGCTGGTGCTGTGACAGTAGCATGCTGGCGGGCACCGCAGCTCTGGGGACCAGCCAGGAGCAGGAATGGGGTGGGAGAGCTGAAGTGAAGGGGGGAAATAAAGCAGGGGAGAAACCAGAAGATTTAACTGGGGAGAGCAGGGAGCTTGGAGGGAGCGTCAAGGAGAGGCTTAGTGCTTCTGAGGCTGCAGGGACAGTAACTGTTTGCAGCCCAACATGTGAAAATTAAAACCAAATTTGGCTGAGGTAGCAGACATGCAGACACAACCATTGAGCTACAGATTTGCCTATCCTTCATTACCTTTAATTGCGAGTAGAGCAAAGACTTATAGCAGCTTTCACTCCTCAGCTGCTGAGGAGGGATGGTAGGAAGGACGAGCGACATACTGAAACTGTGTTGTGGCCAAATGAGCAGTGAAATAACTGCAGGAGAAAATGATGAGAGAGAAAAAAAGACACATGAAATGCATTTCACAGGGCCAGGCTTACCATCAGAACCAGATGACAGTTACTTAGGGAAGAAGGAAAAGGAGCTGACACCATTGCTACAAAAATCAGCAAGTGGGGAAGCCTGATTCAACAGCCCCATGCAGGCAAACCTGCTGGTGTCTTTCCTGGACCACAGCTGGCTGAGGGAGCTGCTGAAGGAGCAAGGGTATACGCTCGCCTAGACAAGACTGTACATGAAGTCTCCTGTCTGGGCCGCGTGCTTCAGCCTGAAGAAATGTCTCTTCAGGGTGAAAATGTGTGCCTGCCCCTCTAGCTAGGCAGGGGGTCGTACGCTACCAGGATGTGATTAAATAGCAGAACCTGGTTCCTCATTTTTTTCCTCGCTACTATTTATGTTCTATCATCATCTTTCCTGCATTTCCTCCCCTCTCCTTCTGGAGTACAAAAATTCACCCGGTGTGTATTCCTGGCTTGTTTCCTTTGCAGCCTACCTCTGAGGTTTTGGGTCAACATCCTGAAGAACCCCCAGTTCGTCTTCGACATTGACAAGACAGACCACATCGACGCCTGTCTCTCTGTGATAGCTCAGGCCTTCATTGACGCCTGCTCCCTCTCTGACCTGCAGCTGGGCAAGGTACCGTCCAGAGAGGACATCTCGCTCCTGCTGGGGCAGTCATAGACACAGACCAGTACGGGTGGGAAGGGACTGTTGGAGGTCACCCAGTCCAACCTCCCCCAGCAGCGGGGCTGGCTGGGAGCCACTTGCTCAGGTTCATGCAGTTGAGTTTTGGCTGTCTCCAAGGATGAGTTCTCCCCGTCCCTTCCCCACCACTTTGTTCAGGCTTGAGCTTGAAATTTGCAGCCCCTCCATCACAAACAGAGGTCAGGGAGTGGGAACGCGGGGTCACAGGCAGGATGGACAAAGGGCAAGGCCCCAGCCCAGAAGGCTTGGACGATGGAGGGAGACCCAGCCGCTGGCTCGTGTGCCCAGCGTTACCCAGTGGCTGTATGACCTGTCCTGCGGTCGCAGGAGAGCGCCCAGCTTACTCAGCACAGGGTCTGTAACGCTTCCTGAGGGGCTGAGCTGGTGCACGAACCCACGAATATTCTCTGTAGCTGGCTCGGGCAGGGGTGTAACGTACCTGTGTGAGCACGTGGGGTGTCAGCTCTGCTCTGGGCACAGGCATGGGAGCCCAGGTCCCTCAGTCAGGGCTGGTTTAGGGGACAGCATTAGCATAACAATCCCGTAACAGCAGCTGAGGGACAATATAAACTCCCAGTGGCAGGATGGAAAATGGCGTAGCTTCAGGTGAAGCTTTAATCATCGCTGTCAGTGGTTTCTGCACAGCTTCTCACCTGGGAGACCTGTGAGAAGCTCAGGAGGCGAGCCGAGCCTTCACGAACATGGGCTGCGCCTGCCCAGGCAGCACAGACCCAGCCTGGCTCACGTGGAGGTGTGGGGACTGCCCGGGGCCATCCCGTTAACACCCTAACACCATCCGTCAGCACCTGGGAAGCACTCGGCGGGTGCTGCCGCAGCCCTGCCAGCAGAGCCATTGGTGCTCCCCACCAGCGGCAGTGTCTCCATCACACGCTGGCCACCTCTGGCCTGTGGGCAGAGCCCGGCAGACTCAGCACCCCCGCCTAGGAAGCTAAGCCTGCTCCGAGCAAACGTGAGGCTGCCCCGGCCGTGTCTCCTCTGCCACCATCGGGCTCCCGTGCACCATCCTGCGGGGCTGGTAGGCAGTGGGATGTCCAGCGCGCATGTTTTCTGTTCTCCCGCTGGCTTGGCTGAGTGCAGTGTTGACATTTGAAACTTCCTGACATAAATAAGTTTTATTAAGAAATGCTGTAAATCGTCCCCCACTGCCCCCCCACTGCAGAGGCTGGCAGCAGCGCGGTGTGTGACGTAGAGGGGACCCTATGGAGAGAGGGGTGGGAGGTGGGCGCTGCTCAGTGCAGCCCCCAAACTGAGAGCAACAGGAAGCCTTCGCTGGGAGAGGTTAGTACTGGAGGAAGATCTAATGAGCACTTGATTTTTTGTTTGTTTGGGTTTTGGTCTTCTTTTTTGCATGTGTTGCGAAACACCTAAAATTTGTCCTTGTCAAGCTGTGGATGAGGGGAAGAGGGGTCAGCTGGAGTCAGACAGCAGATGGAAACATTTTTCAGGAATACAATAGCATAAGTGAAGGAATTGTTGAGTAATGTGGGAAGAATAAATCCTCAGCTTAAAAATCAGCTTGCATATACACGCAGTATATCGCTGAATGTTTTCCAGGCTGGATTCCTCCCCTGGTTTCAGCATGTTGCTCTTAATACTGCAAATGTGAGAGCAGACTCAGACTCCGTACATCTACAGTGCGCAAGCAGTTAATAAATCAGTACCCATCTCTTCATAATACAGAGCGGACAAATCAGACACAAATTAAAAAATAACTCAAAAAGAGGCAGCATGGGTTTCTTTTGTGCTTCTAAGGGAGAAAAAAAATGTTTTCAGCAGGCTCTGTAACTTGGCTGTAGTCCTGTAATGTCTTGTCATTGGGTTTGAAAATAAACTGCTGTGGGATCTGGTGCCACAGCCTGGTGCCCATTTCCCATTTCCCCTGCAGCATTAGCCACGCTACATATTGCAGCAGCAGATTGCAGTTACCCTGGGCTTCCTTATTTACTGCCCGATACAGCTGAAGATGCTGCCTCCATGGCTAGAGCCCTGCCGTGCTTGTCTCCTCTGAAGATCCTCCCTCCACTCTCCACCTGTCAGAGCATCAGGGAGCAGTCCCTCACTCCAGCGCTGGGGTGACAGGACACGTTGATCTTACTCCCTAATGTGTCCCCAAGCCTGGGTCTGTTTCCCTTCGGGAGGCAATGCTAGGCCAGTGGGCCAAGTTCATTCCCGGGGTAATGACATCAGCGGGGCAGGATTGCCTTGAGGTTAAAATCATTCGTGCTTGTGTTTGCAAGGAGTGCAGGCAGGGTTATGCCTTCATTGGTACAACCCAATTGTGTGGCTGGGAGGTTAAGAGACTGCTTTGTCCAAGCTGACATTAATCAAGAGAACTCAGTATTTTCTGTTAATTACTTTACATGCAGTCAATATAGGCCAGGCAGGCTGGGTTAGCCAATGCAAAATAAATCAAAGCTACATGAAAAATCCAAGAGGAACATTTCAACTGACAAAGTTCAGCTTGTAAAAGAGCTTTGTTCTTCAGTTTAAATCAAGCTGGCTGCTCAAGAGACCCGAGGAAATGCATGCAGAAGCCCTTCCCTTGTTACTAATTTCCACATGCAGAGCCACGGAGCACAAGTGTTTTATCTAATACAGTCATGCTACACTCATCTGCAGAGCATCACCTGGCAGCAAGCCACCTCGCCTGACCCCATGCATGCTTTTTAGCCTGCCCTTGCTCCAAATTAAAACACATTCACATCATAGACCACCTTCACTGGCATTGTAGCTAACAAACGTTTAGCTCACGCTAGGAAGAAGGGCAGAGGGACGGTGCTGTGGCTCCGCAGGCAGGTGGTACCTGTCCGCAGCACCTTGATGTGTTCGAACAAGCGCCTCTGTCATTAGCTGTTCTGTGCCTCGGTGCCGTCCCACCGCAGTCCTGTTTGTGTAAAGCCAGGACCAAAGACGTAGCTGTTTCCTGAACCCAGCTGTACTGAAGTCCGTGTCTGATGGTTAGCGCTTTGGTCAGACAAACAGGATTAGAAGTTTTCAGCCAGGAACAATACGGTGTCTGATTTCGGTATCTCGCCCTCGCTCTAGGACTCCCCGACCAATAAACTACTGTATGCCAAGGAGATCCCTGAGTATAGGAAGATAGTGCAGCGATACTACAAGCAAATCCACGACATGCCCCCGCTCAGCGAGCAGGAAATGAACGCCCACCTTGCGGAGGAGTCGCGGGTAAGGCGGAGGTGGGGGCTCGGCCGGTGCGTGTCCCCGGGACGGGGACGATGTCGGGTCTGCAGGCTTGGTGCCCCGCCAGAGCAAGGAGCGCCGAGCCTGCTCTGCTCCGGCTGACAGCAGGAGTCTGGGAGCGGCAGGGAGCGCACATAGGCTGCAGTCAGCTACTGCTTAGATGCTGGAAGGAGCAAACAAGAAAGGATATTTTTGCCTCAAACTTCCACGCACAAACTTCATCTGACCTAATTCCAAGCATCTTCAATTACTGCCAGAGCTGCAGTAAACACCCACGAGTTAGCTTGAACCTAACTAGCTTTGGCACCACTGGGAGTTGAAAGCGAAATTCAGTGCCAAAGAGCCAGGAAGCTTGGAAAAGGATCTCTGCAGTCCCTCAGCCCCCCGGCCAGCTGGCCCCTGGGCGCCAACTGCCAGGGCCGGCCCCGAGTCCCAGGCAGCCCGCTGGCAACCGGCCCTGGCAGCTGGCCCGGGTGTGGGATACCAGCCCTGGTACCAGCTACGGGAGCTGGCAGCTGCGCTCTGGATCCAAGTCCTGCCAGTGATGCGCCACAGCTTCCTCAAAATCAAACAAGCTCCCCGCAGCGTTTTAGCTTCAGCCACCAACTGTTTGCTTTCCGTCAGCATTCCTCTGCCCAGCTCTGGCACTGCCCCATCCTTGGAAATGGCTTTGAGCATGGAGGGGTGAACAGTGCTATCAGGTGTGGGCATTTAAGGCTGGCTTTAAAAAGACTGGGACCATTTCTGATGTAAGCAAATGCACCTTCCTTAAAGGAGTAAGTCAAAAGTCCAGCTGCATCAATGCAACAGTAACAAAAATAGCCAGGCAAAGTCTTCTTTTAATCTAGTTAATGCCTGCTGATTAGGCTTGAACTCACTTGCTGCATCATGTTAATATTCCTCCCCTCTTTGTTCTGTCTTTGTAAAGAAATACCGGAACGAATTCAACACCAACGTCGCCATGGCTGAGATATACAAATACGCCAAGAGATACCGCTCCCAGGTAAGTGGGTTCAGCTGCATTTAGGCCCCAGCGTACCTGTGGAGGGAATAACAAGCAGTATGTTGTAACTGAGCGGTCAGATGCCAGCATCCAGTCTTACAGAAAAGGGATTACGTTTTTTTGCATAATCCCACGCATTTATGTAATATATGCACACACAGGTGCACCTGCTCTCCTATCCCTTGGCTGATGACTTCTTGGAAGAGGAGGCCAGCTACTCCTGGCTGATTTTAACAGCGTTTGGCTGGACCGAACTGAAGCGGGGCTGCCCAATGTGTAGACCCACAGATGCTTTCAGGAGGGCAGAGCACCCTGATACAGTCCACAGCCAAAATAACTTGCCACCAGCCACCCCCAGCTGAGGCACCGGCCCTGGCTGGCTCCCGACCCCCTGCACCCCGCGCTGCAGACTAGCTCTGCGCCGTGAGCTGTACCATTACGATGGTTTTCAGCTGCGTGCCCCTCCTCGCCCACCCGTTGCCCAGGGACTCGGCTGTGCCCTAGAACAGCTGGGGGGTGCCGGGGCGTGTGAGCATGGGGGCTCTGGGGCAGGGTGGGCTCTCCCCATCAGAGATTCATCCGGGATTTGGGCTCGAAAGGGCTGGCAGGGGGAGCTGGGCTGGCGGGTGGGCACCTCTGCCTGCACTGCCTCAGCCACCCACCTGCTCCTGTCTCCTGCAGATTGTGGCTGCCCTGGATGCCAACCCCACGACGAAGCGCACCCAGCTCCAGCACAAGTTTGAGCAAGTGATTGCGCTCATGGAGGATAACATCTACGAGTGCTGCAGCGAAGCCTAGGCCGACTGCAGCCCTGGAAGTGACCTTCTCCGCAGCGCAGTGCCACAGGGAACCTGCCTTCAGCGGTGGATACACCATGGATCGCCTCTGCCAGGGTCATTCTCAAACCAGCCTCGTGGTGGGGGTGGGCCTGGCCTGCGGCTGAAGGGCTCCCTCACCTAACAAGAAGCCACGAGACACCTTTCCAAGCAGCTCAAACCCCTCTGGTCTGCACTGTGGCACCCATAATTTATTTGCTGTTGCCAGGCAGAAATGGAGACGTGACACTTGTGGCAAGCTCAGTTCACCACTTCCCTCTGATCAGTGCCCGAGCGGTCAGTGGCACCCTGCATCCCTGTTTGTGGTTCCTCAGGATGAGAGACAGGGCTGCAGAAGCCGTAACAATAGATGTGAAGCAGAAGGATAGCCTCAGGGAGTAACAAGCAGAGTCTGCAAAGGCCATCGGAGCAACACCTGAGCTCCCTTCCACACCATCCCTCTGACATCCTTGTTTTGCCAACACCAGGGACTCTTATCAGCTGTTCGCTATCTGCTGCATTCTGTGTGTTTTTGTGCCTTTTAATTTTTGTACTGTATGTGTAAACATAACCACTCCTCCGTCTGAGACTTGGGCAACACAGGGAACTCGGGGCTGAGACGAAGCAGTTGCTTCCCAAGTAGCTAAGGCATGGTGAAAGCACTTTATCCCCTAATGGAGATGGCCATTACAGAGCCGGAGGGAGTGTGTTACTTGCTAGACAGTGTGGGAAGGGCTGTTCCCCCTTCCCCAGGTTCCCATATCTGCGTGCACAGTGGGCTGGAGTTGCAGTGGGCAGGCAAATATCCCCCGCCGTTCAGCCAACTGGTCGCAGGCATGGCTTCTGCCTAGAGGACCAGACGTAGTCAGTGAGGGGAAGGGCTCATGCCTCGCACTCCAGTCTCCCTGCCACGCTGGCTGCACACACACCTATGGTGCTGCCCCAGCTCAGCCCTGGTAACACTGCTCATGCCAACAGGGGTCAGCTCCTGCTGACAGCGCTCTGACAGAGTGGACTTGAGCCACACGCGGGGCAAAACACCAGGTAGCATCTTCTCTCCCTCTGCATCATGCACTGCAGCATCTCGTGTGATCATCACCGAAAACAAGGCCAGTGCTACAGAGGTGTCTTCCTAAAGCAGCTTGTTCTGCTTGCTTCAGACCCAGCCCACCATGGTTGTCACCTGAGAGCAACCGAGGGAGCGGTTTTGCTGCGTGTCCAGTCTTTTTCAGCCCACAAAGGCAAAGGGACTGGACCCCATCCCCCTGGCAGCACAATGCTCTCCCTCACGCAGGTCAGCAGAGCTCCAGCACTGCAAGCTGCCAACAAAGGCAGAAAGTGTCCCACACTCACACTGGGGTCAGCGAGCAGGGTCCCACTGCGCAAACAGAGCTCATCTGAGACCTAGAAACCACTACCATCCCACGGCATCCGTACTGGGGCAAAAACCCTGTCCCAGCTTGGTGGCCCATTCGCCCTTCTGCAGGCAACTTCATCCTTTCTGCAGCCAGGGGAGCCACGACCACTCTGGTCTTCTCCAGCGTCACACAGGCCCCTCTGTAGAGGCTGGACCGCAGCTAAGGCCACATGCTTGAAGCCAGCATTCACATGCAGGCAAAGGCAACCTGCCCATGAAAGCTAAACCCAGCCGTAGCCACTGCGTTTTCAAACTGCCAAATAGAAAAGAAAATAAAAAAGAAAAAAGTTACTACCTCACTCCAGGCAGGGTCTAAGGTGAGCCTCCGTTACTCATCCAGCTGGCAAGGATGCAACCTGGTATTAGATGACTTTGGTCCACCAAAACTCCTCCTGGGTGACTCACTGCCATGGACAGGTGGCCTCCATCCCATCGTTTCCAGTAACACCACATTTGTCAGAAATTGGAACATCAAAATTGTGTATGTGTATATAGATATCTATTTTAAAGCAAATGATAGACTTTATCCAGTATGTTAAAAGGGGGGGGGGGGAAGAACAGAGGTTTTTTTAAAGAGAACTACAGAAAAAGTACATACACTGTGGAGGTTTCAATGTCTTTGCTGAGGATGTGGCTTCAGAATAGAAACTCTAAGAATGTAGCTGGGCTACATTTTATTTTGAAAGTGATTTCACAAAAAATTCTTGAATTTTTTTTTCTTCTTTTAGAAACTGTGAATAGCTGCCAGAGATATAGGCAGGCCCAGCACAGGGAAGGCAAGGGTGAGAAGGACCAAGGTAGCAGAGAACGTTGAGCTTGGCTGGAGGTAGGGAAAGGACCATGGAGCAATAGCCCCATGTTGTTACAAGGAAAGGATACAGGTGAGCCGATAGTGAGTATAGTTTGCCTCCAGGTAATGTGACTGGGCCATGTATTGAGGCCTATTGCTTTATTATTTAATTTTTTCCAAAGCAAAAAAAAAAAAAGAAGTAGTTGCTACAACCATTTTAAAGGAACAACTTTAATGGAGCAGAAGCTTGAGGGTTTGTAGTGTTGCCTTGAACCCCAAGCCCTTTGTAACATGTTTTTAAACTTTGGCACGTGTTGTGGGTGTAGTGCCCTTACCTGCTGTGTAGTGGAAGTGGCAGACTCTTGGAAAAGCCTATCTTTGTAATAAAACAAGGTGCTGAAACCTGCGTAGTGAAGTTGCTGCCCTGTGCACACAGAGGACACACATTATAGAAGACAGCCACGGGTGTGTGCAGCAAGCTTTGCCTGTCCGAGACATACTGTGCTCGGGGTTGGCAGCTCAGCTGATACCCTTCTCATCTGGAAACAAGGTGGTTTTTTACCCCTTTGGGCTGCAGCCACACACCACTCCTGCTACCCAGTACCACGGCTCCTGCCAGAGCAAGAACTGACACGGGAGGGGGAAGATCCTTATGAGGACACAACCAGGCACCTGAACTGACTGCATGCTGTACTGCACAGGTGAAGACCAGTAATACCATGCAGTTTCCAGGGCCAGGCACCCTCACCTCTGCCAGGTGCCACTGACCTACAAAGACCATGTCTTCTCCCAGCCCCGGGGAGCCCAGCGCCCGCTCTGCACCACTGCAGCCAGGCCTTGAGGCTTCTGGCTTCAGTGCCGTGACACCAGCCACAGCCTGTAGGTCTTAATAACCATGGCATTGCTAAATCCTCTCTCTTCCAGCTCCCCCAGTAAAAGCTGCTCTTTCCAGATACCAGAGGGATTTTCTTTTCCCACTAGAAAGTTGATTCTTAATAAAGCTAAACCCAGCCATTAAATGATTTGGCCTCTCTCAAAGCGAAAGAGCGTCATGTTTCACACCGAGTGCCTGGTAAGAGAGAACACAGCTCCTGCCCAGTTCTGTTATAGGACATTTCTATGTGAGCAAGCAGTGCTTTGCATGGTTAACCATCTTTGAAGGGTCAGGTGAGTGCTGCTCAGTTATTACTGCAGCATCCCCCACCCCATCCCTGGGGGAACACGAGTTTCAGCTCCATTAAAGGTGGATCAACATAGCCAAGGCTGAAGTTTAAAGAGAAGTTAGTTTGCTCAGCTCTTGCTTAAGCCCCAGAGCAAGGCCAGGAGCCTTGGAGGGCATCGGCAAGGCCAGCTGAAGATTAGCAAAATCCTCTTTAAGAAGGGAGTTTTACTTCCACTTATTTTCTCCTGCCCAGGAGGACTGTAACCCTTTGCATTATCAGACTGACCTTCAGAAGGGCTCTGCGCTGTGCAGAGCAAGAAAAATTCAGGCATTTGAAGCTATTAAATGGAAGCGTTCATATATTGACCCACAGGAGCTAGCAAGACAGCTTTAGAGGTGGGAACTGTGCCACAGATAGATAACAAGAGCATGAGCAATGCTGCAGTCTACAGCAAACAGCCCAAACTCCTTTTTTGAGCCCTACAACACTTCTATTTACCTCTTACCATGGTTACAGCACAGGCAGCTCCCCCAGCACTGGGGACCCCATGCCCATGGCATGCACCCAGACCTGCTGCCCTGGCACTCCTGTAATCCTGGCTCAGCCAGTCATTAGTACAAGGGCAGGCAGGAGGGCAGAGGGCCAGACACCTACCCCACACCAAGGCTGTGGGCACCGCAGCCCCACACCGGCAGGACTGGCCAAGCGCGAGCTTCGCAGTGCCCAGGAGTGGCACTGTGCCGTGTCCCATGGGTCCCTGGGCCCCCTACCCAGGCCATCACCCTGCAGCGGGGATCACCATCAGCCACACAGCCCCTAAAACCTGGCACCCCCCAGCACTGCTGGCTGGCCTGGTGTCCACTGCAGCCAGGGACAGACAGGGCACCTCTCCATGAGAGCATGCATGGCAGGCAGCTGGCCGCAGCACCAGCTCACCGCTGCACCACGCAGGATGAGGCCAGAGACTGGGGGATTTTGGCACTGGGAGATGGGAGCGCAGGGGCAGAGACCCACAAGCAGGGCAGCATTCATGCCATTTCATGAGGGAAGTGAAACAGCTTTATTAGCAGGAAGTGAACACAGAGTTAAAACCTGTCCTGGGGACTAAAACCAACCCAGACCCCAAGGGCTCAGGCCCAGCTGGAAGCAGGGCTGGGCTCCCAGGGGAGCAGGGTTGTCCAAAACCCCCTATGGGACCTTCCTGCCTGCTGGTGGGGGGGCTGCCTTCCGCAGCCCAGCCTCCCCCTGGCCGGCTCCTGGGGTCACCCGGGGCTTTCTCGCCTTGCCTTGATCCCCCTTCGCCTTGGGGGCATCTTGCTGTGCACCCTTGGGCACCTTCCTCTTACTCTTTCCCACTGGCGCCTTTCGGGGCCCCTTTGCCCCAGCACCCACAGGGCTGTCATCATTGCCCCCTCCTGCGCTCTCAGCAGCTGCAGGGGGCCCTGGAGGTCCTTTGCCAGGTGCCCAGGGGCGGCCGGCAGCTTGCGGGGGCTTCACTCCACCACTCCTGGGCTTCGCTGGTGCTGGCGGCCTGGCCTGGAAGGGAGAGAGCACCTCAAGGCTGCTGCCATGCCACAAGCCACCCAGCCTCACCACTGCATCACCTCACCCTACTCACGTCCACGGGCTTCGCCCTCGGCTTCCGTTTCGCTGCTGTCGGCTTCTCCTTTGCGGTGCCTGTGGGAGAAGGGGTGGTGGATGACCCCAAGCAGGGGCCTCTCCACGGGGCTGGGGCAGCCCGGGGCAGCCGGTGGCACCACCAGCCTTTTACCTCATTGTCACGCACCCGCTGCGGGGGCCTGGGGGGGCTTGGTGGTCCCTTTCCGTCCCGGCTTTGGGGCCTGTCCTTTCTCAGGATCCGCCTGGCCCGGCGGCTGCTTTGGCTGCAGCTTCTTGGGGGCTAACTGGGGGCAAGAGAGGGGTGGAAGCGGGGCCAGGCGACACCTCGGTCCCCAGCCCCACAGCTTCGGGGCCAGCAGCCCCCCCCGCTCACCTTGAAGCGGCCGGTGGCCCCCATGGCGGAGGAGTTGCGGGGCCGCACCAGGTCCCCGCGGCTCAGCCCCTTGCTCAGCGCCTGCTTCAGCAGGTACTTGAGGCGGACAGGGTCCACAGCAGGGTACTTGGTCAGGATGAACCGCTTGATGGCGACGACGGAGACGCCCTTCCTCTGGTCCTGGGCCCGCAGCGCCTCGATGACCATATGCAGGGTGGGGGGGTGCGGGGGCCGCCGGCCCCGGGCCAGCAGACTCGGGAGCTGGGCTGTGCCAGCAGCTTCAGCTGCTGCGAGAGGCAAGAGGCGCCTCTTGGGACCCAGCCCCAGCCCCGAAGCGCTCACCCCCAAGGGCTGAAAAGCCTCCCAGAAGCTGAGCAGCCATGACCCTGCTCATCCCTGCGGGCTCACAGGGACCATGGCCACCAGAGTCCAAGCAGAGCCCCAGCTGCACGGGAGCCACAGGGCTCGGCAAACCCCTTACCCATCTGAGGGTCCATGGCAGCGCACACCGGCCCAAGCACACCAGCCTAAAGCCCGGGACCCAGGCAAGCCCAGCTCTGCTCACAACACCACCACCCTCACTCACAGGCTCAGTTCCCTTCCAGCTAATTTATCTGATTAGCACCCTAACTGCAGGGGCTGGTTAGCAGCTGCTAATTGCTCTGGTCGCCGCCCGGGTGGGAGCAGGTGGCTGGGGAGCTGAGCGCCCTTTGCCAAAGCTTTGCGAGGGGCTGGAGGGAGAAGGGGCACGTCCGAGCAGAGGGTTTGGACAGGGGCAAGAGGCTGGGGGGTCGCGGGGTGATTGCCCTGAACACGCCAGGGAAAGGCACCTACCTGCTGCCTGGTGGGTGGCGGGGTGCTGGGATTGCAGCTTGCTGACAGCACTTTGCTGTGGGACCAGCCTGCAGCGTGGGGCCCGCACAGGACCCGTTGCTGGTGCACTGGTGTGACGTGCCAGCTCCTTTCGCCCGGGATGGCCCCACTGGGAAGTGGGGAGCTGCACCGCCAGGGGAGCCTGATAATGGGGGAGAAAAATCAATCCCACAAACAAGAGGAGGAAAATGGAGAGCTGCTTTGTTGGCTAGCAAAGGCAGGAGTGACTCTCCACAGTAGCCCCAGGTGTGCGCTCATGAGCAGGACCCCAACTCATCCCTGCCCCCCGAATCCCACTGTGCTTGGGGAGAGCACGCCCAGCCCCACACACACGGGCAGCCCCTCCGTGTCCCCTCCGTGTCCCCTCCGTGCTGGCTCCTGGCGCAGCAACCACCTCACATCGAGGACAGCATTGTCCCACGGGCGGCGTGAGCTGAGCCCTTGGCCATCTGGGGTCCCCAAGGCACCCAGGGCACTTCTGTGTCACGGCCGTGTTAAAAATGTCCTTCTGGGATCCTATGGACACTTTCCCCGCTGTTCCAGTGGGGTAGAGTGTTTATGCTACTTTCTGTTCCGCCTGTGCTCGCAGGGTGCGCCTGTCACAAACCGCTCTTTGGTGCAGGAACAGCGTGAATATCCTCACCCTGGGGACCTCTGTGTTTCTCCACGGGCACCGCATCAGTCCCTTCCTCTCTACGCAGGAGTCGCAAGGCTTTTGTACGCATCGTCTGTGAAAGCCTGAGGAAGGGCCAGGATTATGTGACGGCCGGGCTGGGTCACGGCCTGACTCAGCAGACAAGTTACCACACCAATGTACGTGCAAAGGAAGACCTTTGTCAAGGTCTGTGCCCACCTGCTGAGCCTGGGGGCTGGATCCTGGCAGGGGACCCAGGTGCCAGCAGGAGCCAGGTCTGGAGTAAGAAGCTGGGAGAGGCACCCTGTGCCCAGGGCCCACATGCCCAGCTCCCCCTGGACCAGCACCACCAGCCTGTTCCCTGCTCCATTTCCAAATTCCCCAGGAAGGGGATGGTGGGGACACTGGAGGGCTGCAGGAGCTGGCACCACGGCAGGGTTGGGTGCACCTCCTCCAACCGTATCCTCCTCCTGGATCCAGCCATCAACCCTCCAGCAGCTCCGTGATGCCCCCAGCACCCACCTGGGCTGGCAGGGGGATCCCAAACCATCGCTTGCCCCTACCACCACCAGCAGCAGCCATAGGGCTGGGCATTGTGTGGGGCGACAGCCCACGGGCTCAGGGCCAGGCCACGACCAGCATGTGCTGGGGCCGGTCCTGCGCAGGCGGGAAAGCCACAGCACCAAGCATCACAGGGCTGCCGTGGAGCACAGCCTCGCGGACAGCAAATAAACACCAAATCCTTCCCCTCTTCCCTCCAAAACCAGCTCCCAGATTTGAAGTACATGAATCAGACATCAGCCTAAACACTGAATTATTCATAAACCTCTAATCTTTAGATTTCACTGAATATGCAGAAGTATCGATAAAAAAAAATAATGAGAGAATTGTACTTGCAAATTGCTCTTTATTAAAGGTTTAACTTGCATGGGTTCTATACGTTCCCTATTAGACCTTGCAAAGCTGCATAGGATTAGAAATCAGAGAGGATAATAATGTACAAAAATAGTTTCAAATGTTGATAACACTGAACAGCGAGAAAAACATCGTATTTGTATAACTGAGCTAAAAATAAAAATGAAGAACACTGCTACAATTGCAATATGCCATCTTGTAGTGCTTAAAACATATGTCGACGTCTCTGAGCCATATGCTCCCATGTCTTGCCTGCTACAGTGCGGAGGAAAGCTTAGCGATGCACCGATCAATCCTCAAAAGCACAAGCACTGGCCAAAACCTCCTACTTGGGCTGATGCCAAGCTGACTGCAGCTGCAACGGGGAGGTGCGCGGGAGGAGTGTGTCTCGGGGCACGGCCCCAGGCCGCAGGGGTCCGAAGATGCCTAAGGATGAATGGCGGGACAACGGGGAGGGTGTGCTTCCTGGTGGGAGGACATCAAGCGAGGCTGCTGCTGAGGGTGCAAACGCCGTGTGCGTGTTGCTGTGCTGGGTGCCTGCAGGAGCAAGCACCGAGCTCTCCCCCAGCACATCCAACCATGGTCGCACATGGCTGTGCCATGCCGTGCTGTGCCACCAGGTCCCCTCGGTGCCACCTGCTTGCTGGGCAGGATCCACAGCCATCACCTCTGTGGCACGGAGGGGCTCACATGCACCGGTACCCTGTCTCGTCCCTCCCGGAGGGGTCACGGTGCCTCCTGGGGCTTCTGACATGCTGGAGGTGGGACAGGGCTGGAGCTGGGAGCACCTGGCAGGCCTGGGGGCACCTGGCAGCAGCCAAACCTGCCCCAGGCAGCCGGAGCGCGGCGGGGCCGAGCGGGTGGGCGGCAGTGGCCGGGCTCCATCTCCGACGGCAGAGCCGGGAGGCGGCCCCAGCTCCAGCCCCCGTGGTGGCAGAGGCAGGGACGCACCCTGGCCCCAGTCCGGCCGTCAAGGTGGGACGAGGGAGGCGAGGACGGCTCTGCCGTGCCCCGGGGCTCGCGCACGGCGGGGCGGGGCTGTCAGACCCAGGGGTCTGCGCGCAGGGCTGGTGGGTGCGAGCTCTCAGCAAGTCAAGAGAAATGCACAGATTTACGCCAGTGGAGGAGCTAAGCCTTTGCACTTTAATTACAAAACGTGTGTACACATTTACAGCCTTGTTCCCAGGGTTCCTAGTACCAGGAGAGAAGAGCCTGCCCCGCGGGGCCGTGGCGGTGGTGAAGCGGGGCGGGCGGCAGCGGCGACGGCGGGGCTAGGTTCGTGTTCCCGGGGCGGCGACGTGCACCAGCCGCTCCGGCGGGGCCTATGCGGGAGAGACCTGGCTGGTGGAGACGGAGGAGGTCTCTGTCTTGCCAGCAGACGTGTCCTCGTCGCCCAGCGGGTTCTTGCCGCAGCAGAGGGTTGTGATCATGCAGTTACGGAACTGGAAGAGAGGGAATCCCGGGGTGAAGCAGGCAGGTGCCAGGCGGCTCCTGTTGCAGGGCTGCCTCCGAGCCCAGCAGAGCTGCTTGGAAGCCCCCAGCGCTGCAGTGCAGGAGGCGGTGGAGTCTCCTTCACCGCTGCTCAGGGACGGATGCAGCCCCAGCACTTCTACCGACCCAGCGCCTAGGTCATTTCAGATGGGATGGGATTGCATTTATGAGATTTATGCAACGCTAAGGATTAGCTGCACGATCACCCTCCTGCATGCTGGAACAAGATCAGCCAGAAACAACCCCCCCTCTGGTACCTCGAGGTGCCATAACTCTCTGCAAGCTGTTATAAAGCAAAATACAAAAAAGGAGATCGCCTGGCATCCTGCCAGTTACCTGTTTGTTCATTACGATGTAGATCACAGGGTTGTAGATGGCGGAGCTCTTGGCAAAGAAAGCCGGGATGGTCATGAAGATGGGCCCAAAGTCCGACCCCTGGTTGGTGAAGATGTAGAAAGCAACGCTGGCGTAGGGGACCCAGCAGATCAGGAAGGCGATGACCATGATGACGACCATGCGGGTCACTTCTTTCTCTGCCTTCTGGGTGGTGGCAGACTCCTGCTGCTGGGCGGCAGCCTGCAGGCAGAAAGGAATGGAAATGCGATGGAGCTGTGGAAGGCTGTGGCGGCATGGGACTGGGGTCAGGGCTTGGGGTAGTTAAGCTGCACGTCTGGAGTTTGCTATTTCCCTGTTCGTGGAGGGTCAGCCTGGCGCCTGAGGGCCCTTTCTGTCACCAGTCTGGAGCCTGGCGTGGGCCCCTTCACAGCACTGGGGACGGGGGCGGCCCCCGGCCCCCCGCCACTGGCAGGTACCCACCTCCTTGACAGTGCAAACCAGGTTCCCATAGCAGAAGAAAATGACCATCAGCGGGATCATGAAGTGAACCACAAACATGTAGACGACGAAAGATTCATTGTTGATCTCTGGCTTCAGAGTGTAATAGTCAATCCCGCACGAGCACTGCATGCCCTCGGGGATGTACCTGCAAGGTGAGCCAGGCAGGTCAGCGCCCCGCGGAGCAGACCTGCTGGAAGCCACGGCTGAGCCGCCACCAGCCAGGCTCCACGGCCCCAGGCAGAGCGTCCTCCCTACCTGGACCAGCCAAACAGCGGAGGGCCTGCACACGCGAAGGCCATGATCCAGGAGAAGGCAACGCCCATGATGGCGTGGTTCTCCCCGAAGCGGAAGTTGCTCATGGGCTTGCAGACCACTACGTATCTTTCGACAGCCAGGACAACCAGCGACCAGAGAGCAATTTCACCTGCACCGGGGAGAGAGAGGGATGGGGACATAGGGACTTTGAGCAGCAGGGGGAGAAAAACGCGCTGATGGCAGCCGAGGAAGACCCCTGGCAGCAGATTAATCTCCGCCAAGGGTTCAGAAGGAGAAATGAACAAAGGCCGAGTGCAGATGCAGTAGGAAGGCATGAGAAGACACCTCCTGGCTGCACTGCTGACCCACAGTAACCACTTTGCTGCTGTGTTTTGAGATCCATGGCTGGATCCTACCACTCATCCCAGACAGCACCTGCACCTGCAAGCCTGTGGTCCCACTCTGAGATGCAGCGAGTGCCCATCATCCCAGGATTTCCCCTCACTACCCACAGCTTCCCAGGAAATTTGTGCCACGAGGACCAAACCAGTACAACAGTTGCCTGTGGCTGAAGGCTGAGCTGAACAGAGGAGGGCATTTTTAGACACAATTTTTATTTAACATCTGTTTCGGTCAAAGCCTGGCTGACACGAGGAGGCAAGCCAGCTTTGCTAGCCTGTGCCACCATGCACCGCATCAGAGCAAATGACAGACTCAGCCCCACGAAACAGGAAGAACAAATTTGTCATCTCTCATCAGAAAGCAAGCCAAAAAGATGTGCAAATCCAACAACTGCAAAATCTGCTACTAGTTGCTTTTCATTGCTGCACTGTTGTTCTCAAGATACTGAGCAGGTGGCTACCAAAATAAGGTTAAAAAAAAAAAAAGTGTCATTTGTCACTTTCTTCACCTCCCACCCTGAAACACTGCAACTGCCTTGGCCCACATCAGCAGCAGACCAAGAACCTTCCAGATACCATGTTTTCCAAGATCATCTGGGCATCTTCCCTCCTCCTCCTAAAATCTGGGGCAATTCCTGGCAGAAGATTTTTGAATATTTGGAAAACTTACCGCCCAGTGTAGCAAAGAAGCCTTCAATGTAGCACCCTGTTACTCCAAAGACAAAGTACCCGTTCATTGAAGTGTACATGGTGGTCGTGAAGCCTCCAAAGACCATGAAGAGGTTGGCGACCGCCAGGTTCAGAAGGATATAATTTAGAGGCGTCCGGAGCTTCTTGTGCTGGATGGTAACGTACAGCGTGAGGAAGTTGATGGGGAAGCCGAGCAGGATCAGCATGAACATGTAGGCAGCCAGCGCCGAGAACTTCCAGGGCTCAGCCAGGTAGTACTGGGGGTACTCGAAGGGGCTCCGCACCACCCCGGTCTTGTTGGACATGGGCACGTAGAAGTCCTGGCCTTCTGTCCCGTTCATGGTTGCGGTCCGTGAGGTGCCTTTTGCTCTTACTCAGGGGTGTTTTTTGTGTGCGGGGGGATCGCCTCTGAAGTGGGGTTCCCGCCACCTCTCAGCCTTCACCCTCACCCCGAGGAGAAGCGGCTAAGCTCACCTCCGCAGCGTGCCCCTTATAAAGTGCC